TTTTCTTTTATAAGATGAATTATTCATCGAATTATTTAAAATTTTGTGAATTCATGTTTTAACCTACACCAATTACGGACGCCATTTTGTTGAGAGTGTATTTTAAGCATCATGTGATTGGATTTAAAGAAAAGCTTGGATCTTGCTGGTGATCTTTCCATCTTGGAATATATCAACTTGATGTAAAGGTAATATAGTAACCGAATCTTCAATGAAATGAATTGAAATATGGAAGTACGAAGAAGTTTAGAAGTTCTTGACCAAGAACATTCCATTAACATATATAAACATCTTTAAAAACAATTTCAGTTTCTTGTATTTAGGTTAGCTGGTTTTGACCGAAAAAGGTAAATCTTCCTTAATTTTACTGACGCAAATAATTAGTTATATGCTCAGCTTGTCCAATTGGGGAGCCTTTGCGGGCACCCTGCTTCAATTTAACTACATAATCTTATTGGAAGACATTTTCCGTCGACTACTAGTTGCACCAAACGTGATGATGGTTTCTGAAGTGTAAAGATTATAGTAAGTGAAGTAAATTTCTGTTCACAAGCACAATTTTAGCAAAGATTATCAGCAATCAAAGATAAGAAATAACATTATGACTAAAACAACAACTTAAAGGAGTTTTCGACTTACTTCGATCCATTTAGCAATGTGGCCTGTATGACTTGTAGTGTAAGATCGTAGACCAAATTTAGGTAATATTAAATACTATCTTGGAATCATAATAGATACAGAATTCTGACAAATGCCATAAATATACCTAATATCTGCCAAGATCTATGAACCAAATTAATCACCTTTATATTCAACTTGAACTATGTTGTGTTTTGTAAACTGTTGTTTGTCTGTTGGTCTTTTTCATATTTTCATCGCGTTGTAAGTTATTTTAGACTTATGAGTTTGAATGTCCCTTTGGTATCTTTCGCATCCCTTTTGAAAATGTTATCGTTCTGAAATGAAAATATTTGAAACATTTTTGGCGCATTTGTCTTCTATCTTAAATATCACACTCTATTTGCAGCAGATGCTACCAACAATTCAAGATCTACAACTAAAAAGGAGAGTTTGGGTTGTATGAAAATATACAGCTTCGTTAAATCGGGACGGGGATATTTGAACCAATGAATTATGTATGCAATGTTTCTTTTGCAATTTGTTCGTTACATCCTCAGAAATTTTTGGCTAATATGGATCGAAGCAGCCGGTGAAATCTTATAGTAGTTATTTACTTTTACCTTATAATTTTGTCGTTATGTTTTTGTAACTGATAAACCGTAATCCGTAAAAACCTAGTCTTTTTATATTTGATGTCCTTGGGTCCTAACTTAGAAAATGAGGTCACGGTCATAGGTCAAGGTCATGTTTTCAATTTTGACTTTTGCATGGTTTTTGCATTTTTAAAGTTATATATAGAAGAACTAGTGCAAAATGTGTGCTTTAATAAGATTAAGATATGATATATTTGGTCTGAAACAATCATATGTCGACATCTTCTATGAGTAATTGCCCCTCAAATGTTTTTTTTAAGGTAAATGAAAAAAAAAGATGATTACTTCAGATTGGTAAACGAAAAAGCCAAAAGGTCTTTTGCAAAACGTTGGGTGACATATGACCTTGAAAATGTAAACCGGAAGAGACCTTGAGTGAACCGGAAGTAGTAATTTTGGCACTTATTTCATGGAAAAGTACCTAGAAATCATATATTTTCTAAATGGGCATACCTTAACCTATAATTTGAGACCGGAAGTGAATTCTATAACTGGAAGTAGCAAATTATCTCCCTCATTACAGGCATAAGTATTGACAAACTATATATTTTGGAATCAGTGTGAATAAAACTGTCATATTAGACCGAAATAGACATTTTCTAAACCGGAAGTAAGCAATTTTGTCTCCTTTTACAGGCAAAAGTATATATAAACCATATATTTTTGGAATCAGTGTAAATACAGCTATCATATGAGACTGGAAGTGACATTTTCTGAAACCGGAAGTTGGCAATTATCTCCCTTATTTCAAACAAAAGAAAATAGAAACCATATATTTATTTAATCAGTATGACGAAACCTATGATTCTACGCAAAAAGTAACTTTGAGTAACCCAGAAGTAGTTTCTTATCAATTATTTAGAAAATTGATGTGGAAAGACCTTCAATTGTTCTCTGAACAATTGGTTTTTAATTACGTGTGACATTCTTTATATCAAGTATACTACATTATATCTAAAAAAATTCATTGATCGATTCTTTCTTAATGTACATGTATCTTTAGACTATAGATACTAGAGAAACTGAAATCGTCATTGAAACATGTCTGCTCCAGGGTAGAGTTTTTATAGCATTCGGGGTATTTTAAGCAAATTGACCTGATAAGCTTCAAATGTATATTTCATGAACCTGATAGAATAAAATCCTGTTAAAACGATAGTAAAAGCATAAATACTTTAAACAAGCGATACCAGTGCACTGAAGACCTACACATTTTGAAATAATATAGCGGTAGATTCTTTGTCAAATTCTTTCGAATTATAAGAATTCAATTGTATTTAGATACGTAAACAATGGACGTTATTGTATTTTTATTTTACTCAGGATGTAAATGGATTTAAAGACAAACTGGATCGAACGTCTCGTTATCTTAACGCTTCTTGAAACATATCCACTTGATTGTAAGGTAATATGATAACTGAATCTTCAGAAATACTATTTAGTAGTTATAAATAACATAACATTATACTATAATCAAAACTGTAACAATACTTCTAGCGTTTGCGATTGTAATACTGAAATATGTCGAACTTTAGAAATTCTCAACCTGAAATTTTCCAATATCATATATACATATACATTTACAATTTCAGGTTCGTGTAATAATGGTAATAAGATTATCGGGGTTTTTTTTTTGGCCGAAAATTAGAAGTAAGAAACACACACATAGTTCAGGGATACAAGAACGGGAGATTCTATTTTCAAAGAAAAGTCAGAACAAAACCAAATAATTCTGTTTCATTGGTTTTAATTTTGTTTACATACACAAACTTAAAAAAATCATGACTAGGTAAAACATTGCGGAAAATTTGTGTCAAAAATGACTGTGTGTATATTCTCTTTGTTGTAAAAAAATCAAGACCCTCTTTTCTCGCGTCTAACAACTATAAGATTAACAATAAAAACAAACAGTCTAAAGCCATAAACAACAAACCGGATACTATTGGAAGATGCGTTAACAGTTGAATGTCTGTAGAGAAAACAATTTCTTGAATTAAAAAGTACGGAAAATGCAAATAAGATGTCTTTTTTTTTTTTGGTTGCATATTGTTTTACTTAGAATAAAACTATATATGTGTATTCATAGTGAAAACATTTAATTTAGTGGTGCCAATTTTACAATTACACGCGTTCCAACAATAATTGTCTATTGGGTGTAGCTAGAGGCTAAACTATATGTTTTTGAATAGTGAAGAGCAGTTAGAACCGAATAGTATGGCCACATCAGGACAAGATATGAAAATTTACGCAAGAAGGAGATATTTCCTTTTTTAAGATTATTTCCTTAATTGTTTAACAGCAAACTTCATTAAAATGAATATCACTCACAAGGTTGAACGATAAGAAGAAAAAAAACCCAGTAATTTATATATGCAGGTAATTGCATAAAATGGTAGGACTTTATGATTTATTTTCAGAATGAATGAATTTAAGTAGAAAGTATAATTTATTCTTACTTATTTTAATCGCAATTAATTTTTCCAGTTTTCAACCATTTGTCATTAATCTAATACCTAGTTTTTTTTATCATATTTTATATTTCATGTCAACAGATATTCTATGGAAGGGAAACAACGGTTTTTACAGTTAATTGCTTTTACTACTGGACCAGCAATTGACGTCGTTCAGCAATATTTTGAATTGAAGATTATACCCAATGGTAAAGACTTTGAAGATTACCTGAATGATCCAAAAAACAAACACAAGCTATTTCATGAACGTTACCCCAAAATACCTTGTTGTGCATGCTTTGGAGCTACTTCTATAGCAGCACATTCAAAGCGTGGTTGCTTGGGATATCAGCAATATTCCAAGCTTTACGATGCAAACGGAACCGTTACTGCTGGCCATGAACGGACAAATGGAAGTCAGATATCACAACATTGTATATGTAAAGTATCAGCGCAAAGGTCAATTAAAGTAATTGATATTGATCTAACCTTACTTAATGCAATAATTCAACATTGTTGCCCTTTGCACATTACTACAAAAATAGCTAGATGGATGAAAGTAATCAAAGAGGTGAGAAATACTATTTCTCATTGGCCAGAAGGACAACTAGAAAAAAACATGTTCGATCAGACTTGGAAAAAACTACAAACTGCTACGTTGCAATGTGCCAGTGATATCGGACACACGAGCGTAAAGATGTTCCAAATGACAATTGATCTGATTACAACATGTTCTGTGAATGATCTTGGGGAACGAATGTTACAGAATACCGACAAGCTATCAAAGGTATTCGTTATTAATCATGTGAACAATAATGCATTATAAAATTATTATTTTAGTATAACCATTTTTTTATTTATACACAAAAAGCTTTTCCGACAAATAGAATGGGATTTCAGGCATCACTCGATACAATATGTTAAAGAATACCTTTTTATGTAAAAAAAGAGTTGATCATTTTCATTTACCAACAGCTAAAAGCAGGTGATTTTAAATAATCATAAACTTTCTATTTATTCATATTACTAAATAACTAGAAGCAGATTCAATTGGTCTCTGATTCATGTTTGCTGTACATAATGTATAATATTTGTAAATATTTGTTTTGTTAAATTTATTGCTCCTATATTTTTTTTACCTTTTAAACATTCTATATAAGATTCAATCAAACGTCTCTGACGAAATGCTAATCATGAGTTTATTTGAATTTGCAATCAGTTATTCCTATGCTTAATAATGTTTTGTGCTTTATAAAAATATGTAGGTTCACGAAGACCTTAATGGAATTATCCCAAGTGTAGAGTCAATATTGTCTAAACAGAATGCGATTTGTAACCAATTATGTAGCCACGGTAAAGATTTGACAGAAGTAAAAACCTTTGTCGCTGGAGTAAATACTGTATTTGGTAAGTATTTTCGGAAGCCCAACAGTGTTGACTCTGTTTCGATATCTCTGTTGATCGCCTGCCAGTAAGAATCATGTATCATGCACTTTATGTGCTGATAATTGGTTTGATTAAAAAATCGAACTCGTATTCACTAAGTTCCCGGCGTTGGTTATCATTATTTACAATAAGATGAATACCGATTCTATCTGTGTGTCTTTGGGATGTATGATTTATTTAGAAAGGAATAGTTCAAGACTGGACTTTCTTTATTATAAAGGCTATAACCTATATTTGCATTAAGGAAATGACTTCTTTCAATTTTGGAGAAATTATCTTTCAAAAAGATATATTATAATCAATTCAATTACAACTGTCACTATCTAAGAAAATTTGAATTCAGCTTGTCCAAGAGTTAATGTTTTGCATCGGTATTTCTCGTTTTACAGTATTCTTCATTAGTTTTACTAGTTCCATAGTAGATTAATTTTGCACCTATTACAAAAGAGTTTCAACTATCCCATGCAACGTTGGTCATTGTCTGTAGATCTATTAACAACGTAACAGTTCTCTGATCTGAAAATATGTCCAGCTAATTAAAGAGATAGAAACTTTTAATAACATGCACGGATTTTTAATTTTAGTTTGAATAATCTCCATTATTGCAGGTTATAAAACTGATTGATTGAGTGAAATTTATAACTCATAAAATAATGTAAAGTTGACACTTGATAAGACATTATTGAAATCAAACCTTAACCAGCATGTCATTGATTAACAGTCTGTGATCATATGGTCAGAAAATATAAGATGGCAGTGAACAATTATTTATTCTCCATTTTCAGATATTTGACGTTGATAAGCAATATATATTTTGAGCGGCTAAAATGAGATATATGCGTATATTAATGAACAAGAATTAAAATGCATGAATTCCTTGCCAAATGGATGTTGTCTCTTTGACACATTCCCCATTTTCATTCTCAATTTTATTTAAAGTTTATGTTTTATCTGTACCAATTACCATAATAACAGTCTTGCACCTATCTGTTATATATCAAACGAGGTTCTATGTTCTAACACTTTTTTACTAAAGTATTCTAAATGTAATCGAAAAATAATCGATGATCTCATCAAATTGTTTTGTTGTAATCCATTAAACATGTAACCGACGATTTTAAAGAATCAAGACAACTAAAGTTGAGAATGGAAATGGGGAATGCGTCAAAGAGACAACAACCCGACTAAAGAGCGGAAAACAGCCGAAGGCCACCAATTGGTCTTCAAAACATCGAAAAAATCCAGCACCCGGAGGCATGCTTCAGCTGGCCCTTAAACAAAAATGTGTACTAGTTTAGTGATAATGGACGTCATACTAAACTCCAAAACATATAAATGAAGTAAAATTAAAAATCATACAAGTCTAACATAGGCCAGAGGCTCCTAACTTGGGACAGAGAATAATGCGGCGGGGTAAAACATGTTTTGTGATATCTTAACCCTCCCCTATACCTCTAGTCAATGTAGAAAAACAAACACACAGCCATACGCACAGTCAAACTCAGTTGAAAAGAAGTCTGAGTCCGATGTCAGAATAGGTAACAAAAGAAACTAAGCAAAATGATAATGATACATAAATTAACAAAGGACTACTAGCAGTTACTGATATGCCAGCTCCAGACCTCAATTATAATGATTGAAAAATTATGTCTTCATCATATGAAAATCACGCACGATCTCTCCCGTTAGGGGTTTAGTATCATACCATCATAAAATATATGAGAAGAACACAACCCGTATCATGCCAACAACTGGTTTTAGAATAAATGTGTTTATTTACGATGTAAAGACCCTATGAGTGAATCAATATTAAAACCAAAATATGACATCTTTAATTACCTGGCAACAGTAGCGTAACTATTTGTCTGCAGTGGGATATCCAGTGAACGAAAACAAAAGAAAATTCACTTTTCTTATGATAGAGTCGAGAAAGTCAATAATAAAACAATACCGGTGACGATACTGATCAAAAGTTATTTCTAAATAATAATTGTACATTTTAAAGAAATTATTTGTTAAACTGTGTTATTAGAATTATACATGCAAATACACGATGATTTATGTTCAGTATTTATCGAGGTAATTGCTTTAGAAGCTTGTGAAACTGCAATTTAAAAACTGCCAATCATTGCTGCATATTGATAAATAAAATTGGGAAAAATCATATACATACAAAATCGAAAGATCATTCTGGTCACCAATGTTCCAAAAAGTCCTTAGCATTTTACAATATCTTAAAGTATGCTTAGTTTGTCACACCGGTCTGTTCTTGTCACATGAATATTCGACAGAGAACTAGTGTCCTTTCGTAAATATGAACATATAAAAGTCTGCCTGTGCAGGTTAAAAAATTAAGTATAATTATCTTTATAAAGTAGGTATCTTTCTACTCTTTTGAATGTAATTTTTAGGAAGGTCGTCTCGAATTTTGTACAAGTATTTGCGATCTTCTCGATCTATTCACATGCAATGTTTACATCGAGATACGGTCTGTTTGATTTTGCTTAGTAACTTAATTTCAAAAGTGCAAATCTGTGCTGCATATCAATCGATTCCTTTGGAATTTGTTCCCTGACTTTTTCTGATCTAGCTGTATATATATACAAATAATTAGAATGTTCCAGAAAGGCATACAGGCAGTAAAAAATAAATTGGAGTTCGTACTCCAGGAATTTATTCGCATAGCAACATTTAAAACAAATTTTACTCCATGCATTTATAGCCTTCTGTACTCGTCGTTTGATACTAAATGAGGAAAAGATAATCGATGGTTTGTTTTTATTTCAATTTATTTCTATTTTTACTATTTACCAGAATCCATAACTGATAGCGTCCTTGCTAAAATGGGACAAACATTAAAAAGATCTAGTTTTCAGTGTTTACAGGGGAGGTAATATTTTGTCACTAGATTTCCCACTGTCTGTTTAAAGGTTTAGTTAGCTTTTGATGTGAATGCCGACATTTTTGTGCTTTTTAAAGAATATTACCATAATAGATTGGATGTGAAATTTTTCAGTAATACATAGATTTCGTTAAAATAAAATACGTTGTTACATACAAGAACGAATCGAACAAGATACATAAATACCAGATGGATATTTAACAATAGGAAATGAAAGATCATCTCATTTATCATAAATGTTGGTATTAAGCTTCCAGTTAGAGATATAGATATCAAGATCTAGGAAAGGGCAGTGTTCATTGTTACAATAATCTTTATCTAAAGTCAGGTCAACAAGATAAATCTCTTTAGTGTACATACCGAAGTCTTCATTCTGACTTTTTAGATGCTTATTTAATTAGGTGTGTGAATGTTTTCTTAATAAGAATATCAAGCAAAGTGGTATATAGGATGAAAAAAATCAAAACTTTGAACAGATTCAAAACCACCAATATAAGCATGCAATTCATCAAGTACTTCCACCGAATTTTGGACACCCCAAAAGTAATTAATTCCTCTATTTTCAAAGGCCTTATTTGAAAAATGTATTATCAGATTTTTGATTGTACCAAGTGTACTAGTAAGTAGAATGGACAGTTTAGTAGTGGAACAATGGCTTGAAGACTAAATAAATCTATATTTCTAAGGTGTTTTGTGCAGCTTCGGAATTGTTGGAACTTTCATTGTATTTGGTTCTGCTTGTACTTGTAAAGAAGTATCTAACAGTTTATGTTTGTTACAGATGGCATTTCCCGAAAATGGAGTCAGTTAGAATGTTGGTGGATTCGTGATTTCCTTTTCGGCTTTTGCAGAACCTCAATGTAAAATTTACGTCAAACAATAATGATATCATTAGCAGCCTTATCAGTGGGGAAAAAATCCTTGCGGAGTTTTTTTAGCTTATGTTTGAAACGAGAAATAGGGTTATTATAGTTTTTGTTAGGAGTAAAACGTTCTTTAAAATGTTTTATACGTACATTTTGTATATCAACTATGTTCATTACTGAATTAAAAAAAGAATTTAAGGATTTCTTTTCAGCTTTTTCTCGTTTTATCCATTTAGAGAAGTAAGTACGGAGTGAGTCGTGGATGATATTACGACACTCATTCAAATTAATAATTGATGGGAAACGATATTTAGGTCCTTTACTGAGGAATGATATTAACTCTCCGTCACGAACGGTTTTAAGGTCTCCTGTTATAACATGGGAACTGGGCCCATAAATGTTTAAGAAATTACTGCAATTTCATGACGTAGGTGTATTGTCACTGATATTTACATTTTAACACACTTGGCTATAATAAGACATATTTCCGGGTAGATTATTTGTAAACAGAACAAATAGGAGGGAGTTCAGTATTATCAAAATATCCAGGAATTTGTTCTTTAACAAAATGATCATTAAAAATACCGGCAATATTTACAAAATCAAAATCTTTATTGACATATTTGAATTTACAAAATTGATTTTTTAAGATCGTCAGGGCAAACAATTTTTGGGAACAGTTTAGAATAACAATATGCAATTATAATTTGAACGATTTCATACTTAGGATTGCAATATGGAATTATGTTGCAATCCTGTAAAACTTTATGTAATTTATTTACAGGTAAATAACAGATAATGTATGCCGTTGTTTTTTGAAATAGAAATTAGGTCCGAAATACTTGTATTGTTGGTACGAATTTCTTTGAATTCGATTTATTCTATGCTCATGAGAACGGTTTTTACCTGGTACCTTTGATAACTATTTACGAACACTTTTAGAAACAATATCCAAAATGTAATAGAATCGGTTCTTGATATATTACCAATTCCAATGATATTATCATTCAGACCAAGAGGATATACTGTGTGTAATTCTTTAATCCAATTTAATTTTATTATTTTCAGTGATCGTATTAACTTTGAATGAGATTCACCAGGATACTTATTAACTACTTCTAAAGGTTGAACTGTTAAATATTTAATAGGATGATTGTGCTTCTTAAGGTGTTTATAAATGATACTTTTGAATTGATGGGGTCTTTTAAAACGATAAAGGTGTACTTGCGTGCGTTTAGATAGATAGCGTCGTTTTCACCTTCGTACTGAATACCGCTTCCCGGTTTGTTTCATGTGAGTGAATAGATTTTTTCAACTTATATCAGTTTATTAATTTAAGGAAAATGTGCAACCATTAAATGTTGACCTTGCCGTATTGTTGGTGGAAAGACGGGGACATGTAAGGCACGACACTTATCGATAGAAGGGTAATCACGATTGTTATTGTTAAAAATGTTAGCGATTGTTGTATTTTTAGATTAAGACGTGTAGATACCCTTTGAACATTAGTTAAGCATTTAATACTTTTTTCATTTCTAAGCTTCCTTTTTGTTTTTGGTTATTTGCGTTTACAATTGAAAGGAGCAAAGACTAGCGTCCAGAATATGAACCAGCACACAGGAATTGAATAAAGTAGAATTGATAAAACTGTTCGGCTAAAGACGTCAAAAGCTATCCGGCATCAAGTACCCGACCCAATACGTTAATTACAAAATCAGAGGACTAAACAAAAGACAGGGTTTATCAGGGTAGCGCCTAATGTCTGACATAATAGTAGAATGGGGCTGAATAGTGAAATATGAATTTTAGATAAATACTTCTAAAGTAATGAACTGCCTATTTTTTAAATAATTGTAATCAATTATGATTACAGATAACAATTAACCTAGCCCTGATCATGCACGTGCTAACCTTATTGTGTTGATTGTTTATCAGGTTTATGATCGTTATGCTTTGGCCACAATCGCCAAAAGTTGACAGAAACCTTCTGATCAACTCTCAACGAAAAATCTGCTGTTGTCAATTTTATGTTATGGATGTATAATATAAAGTGCAATCGTGCACATATTACTCTGTATATATTATATGCATGCATAAAGTCTTTTCGTATGACTTTATCGGAAAGGATAATATATATTTTTTTTATGTCTCAATTTCTTTTTATACAGAACAAACCAGAGATGTAATGGAGAAAGTGAATGTAAAAACAGAGGAAATAAAGGAAGATGTAGGAGATGTAAAACACAGGCTTGATAGGATAGAGTTTATGTTTTCCATGTCATTAAAACGGCAAAGAGAAAATCCTGAAGAGTGTGTTACAGGTAAAGGCTAGAGTATTTAATTATTCAAAATTATACGACACACAAGCTGAGAAAGGGAATATATTTTACAATTGCTTGACACGATTTCTAACATTTTTGTAGTTCTCATATATTCCTATCTTAAAAGACATTTTTCTTTAAAGGCAATTATTTCTTAACATACATTGACCAAAAAGACAAAGACATTAGCTCACCTGGCCTAAAAGGCCGAGTAAGCTTTTCTCATCACTTGGCGTCTGTCGTCCGTCGTCTATCGTCGTCGTACGTCGTTGTCGTCGATGTCTTTTACACAATTCTTCTCCTCTGAAACTACTGGACCATATTTAATCAAATCTAGTTTAAAAAAAAATTCCGATGACCCGGCCCTTCATACCAAGATGGCCGCCATGGCTAAAAATAAAACATAGGGGTAAAATGTTGATTTGAAACAAAAGCATTTAGAGCATATCTGACGAGGTATATTTGTTCATTAGGTCAAAGGTCAATATCTATATGCCCTCAAATTTTTAGACAAATCAGACAATCCATTGTTGGGTTGTTGCCTATGAATTGGTACTTTTAAGAAAATTTTGCAGTTTTTGTTATTATCTTGAATATAATAATAGATAGAGATAAACTGTAAACAGCAATAATGTACAGCAAGGTAAGATTTACAAATAAATCAACATGACCACAGTGGTCAATTGATCCCTTAAGGTTTAGCTAGCTATAGAACCAGGTTTAATCTACCATTTTCTACATAAGAAAATGCATGTACCAAGTCAGGAATATCACAGTTGTTGTCCATTCGTTTGATGTGTTTGAAGTCATGATTTTGTCATTTGAATAGGGATTTTTCGATTTGAATTTTCCTTGGAGTTCATTTTTTTTGTGATTTTACTTTTTAACGAGTTATTATCCTTTATAATCTATATTTAACAACTTTTTGTAAATTTTTGTAATCTTTTACAAAAATCTGCTGTGAAAATACTGAGACAAATTTAATCAAAATTTGCCACAATCATCATTGGGGTATCTAGTTTAAAAATGTGTCCGATGACCTCACCTACCAACCAACATGGCTGACAGGACTAAAAATAGAACATAGGGGTAAAAATGCAAGTTTTTTTAACCGTTATAAAAATAGAATATCAGAACAGAAAGGAGCAAGAATGTTCAGATTTATGAGCTTTACCGAAATTATACAACTGTACACGTTGTGTTAAACGTATTGTTAACAACGGTTAACTAGCGGAACGAGAATATCTGATATCATTTTCACTTAATGTTGTGTTAGCGCGAACGTTAAAAAAATGTCGGTCATCAACAACTAATGGCTTGAATATATTCTAAACAAAAGTTCTGATTGAAACATATATGTATACTTTTTGTTACATGCAGACATCAACAACACACAGTAATCTTGTAAAAAGAAAAATAATAATAATACCGAACCCAAGAAAAATTCAAAACGGAAATCCCTGAACAAATGCCAAAATCAAAAGCTTAAACACATCAAACGAATGGAAAATCATTATCATATTTGTTACTTGGTACAGGTATGTCCTTATGTAGAAAATGGCGGATTTAACCTGGTTTTATAGCTAGCTAAACCTTAAGGGATCAATTGACCACTGTGGTCATGTTGATTTATTTGTAAATCTTACCTTGCTGTACATTATTGCTGTTTACAGTTTATCTCTATCTATTATTATATTCAAGATAATTACCAAAGTTAAAGAATATACAAAGACAAACAAAAAGAACACCATAACACGTAATTAAGATGATAATCCATGTGTGTACCTACAATATATATTTCAAGACCATAATGTGTAATTAGTGAAGTTGATATATATTTATCAACAAGGTCTTGGTATCTTCTGATGAACTTTTTTCTAGTAAAAGGAAGAGACGTTTCTTGACAAAACCCTGGTTCATCTTTCTGCTCAGGCACTGGTGACGTTTTATTATGTCTGAGTAGCAGCTGCAAGCTCTTGAATACCAAATGAATTGGGAAATGTATATCCCATATGCAGGTGAAGTTGGTATATTCCTGCTAAGATAGGGGATTTACAATTTTAAAATTGAAATTGTCTTATTTGTCATATATTCTGGTGAGATGACCGCTTATATCAAATTCAAAGCATAAGTCTACACATTAGGCTAGGGAAGCCGTGCCTGTTGTTTCCTTAATTTCTAGTTCTAGGGAATTTATTTATAGATCCCAGTCAGAAAAGTTTGGATTGTAAATGGAAAGAACCTCATTAATATATCTGAATATGAATTTAAAGGATATGGGTAAAAGACTTCAAGAGTACTTGAATATGCCATACTTTATTACGTTGTATCACATGATGTTATAAAGAACTGTTGATTAAGCTTTTTATATAAACACTTTAATAGCAGTTGATCGATCGAACGATAATCCAAGTAATGTTTATTATAAAACACTTATTAGAAGCAATGTAAAAAGGTTTACGGATATGATTTTTTAGACGGTTTTTTAGGTAGCTATTGTTGTTAGCCTTTAAGTTATAAGATTCCATTCTTAACTGAAGCGTATCGTGTTTATATCACTCCAAACAAATATATTTGGTTAAAGAAAATTTTATAATTTTCTATTTTCATAATTTTATAGGAGAGAAAAAAAGAAAATTAAATCTTGATGTAGATGCTATTTCTACAGCATGGGATGAAGAAAGGACAACAAGTAACTTAGATGACAAAATGCAGGCAATTACAAAACGTGCTGATAAAGATCATTATGATGACAACAAGGGATTTGTAATAGAGAAAGTAGAAAACAAATGTATACATTTGGAACTGAGTGCCTCTCCAGACGTATTCGGAAGTCCGCAAAAATTGAGAATAGCTATCAAATCTCTTATCCGTCAGTTTGTAATAGCCGGCGAACTCGATGGAAATGTTCCAGCGACTGTAAATATAAATATTACAGTGAACAGCGCACTTACAACAAGTATGTAAAGCCAGAAAACTTTTCTTTAAATACACAGTTAATCAAGTAAAAAAAACCAAAATGTATTCGTCCCTCTTGTTTTGTGTGTAGCAACTTGTATATCTTATCATTAGTAACAGCACATATCATATTTCGTAATTTCATAGAAGCAACAAGTGATATTCGAGTTAATTTCACAAAAATGTTATTCAATCTTTATGTCTTAATTGTATATTTTATTGACAACATTTATTACGTACTAAGAGGATTGCATAAGAAAATGCTGATTTAATATATGCATATAAAAGTATTGATAAATTTCCAGAAGAGAAGAATGTTGTCTATACAGTATTTAGTGAAAATGATACCTTGGACGGGTCAGATTACGATGAGAAATTGCAAATTGAACAAAAGCCACGTTTAAATGATAAAGTACCAACTGTTGAACCAGATCAACAGATAGCTTCTACTTCAGCAAGTATGTATCGCTAAACTGAAAAAGTAAGAATAGGAATAAAAATGCAATACCAACACGCCTTTGTCAGTTAAAGGGACATGAACTGTCAAATTCATGTTCACTAATTTGACTCATATTTGATTTTTAACATATTAAAATTTATATCAAAATTACATAGAGTCTAAAACAAACTATTAACAATGCATAGACTCAATAATATGTATCAATATTTCGTTTGTATTTTTGTCTAGACGCCATCTAATTAACCTTCGAGATGGCCTCCGAAGAATGCCGATGGTCATATTACCGATAAAAACATAAACATAAAAATATTAACAGACAGCGACCACGTGCAATTGATTTTTTCTTTGTCTGTTTGATTTCATATTGTAGATTGAAAAGTTTGTTTATCATCATTTTTACCTGTATAAGATGGATTTTTTGGTGGATCAAATAAGTCAATTAAATGGTTCATCCTTGTTTCAATTGTAGTGTTGACATTCCTTTCCATTTAATAGCTGAATACATGCGAAGCCCATGTCCAGCTACAGTGTAAGGGGTGAAATTGAAAGTCACATGAATACGGCTTTAATGAGGTTGATTCATTCACTTGCAAGTGAATAATTCATCAACGATTTTTCTCAGCTTATTTTGACAAAATGGATTTCAATATTTCACTTTCATTAATGATTGAAGAAAAAATATCATGTTTTAACTGTTGTTATATCTCGTAGCTAATGCCTCTTTAAAACATACGTTTAATATTATTTTATAAATAGAGTACGCAATATTTCGCTATATAAACTAGATATCAACGCGTATAGCTCTTTTTATGATTACATGGAAGTTTTTTCCTAAGATTATCTAACAAGCAGATCACATTTATCATTGTTGATCCCTTTCAAATAGACCAACAAAACAAAAAAACAAAAAATATATGGTTTGAATACCTATGAGACAACTTTCCATCAAAGTTCAAATGATGTAGAAGTTAGAAACTATAGATGATTATATAGCCGTCAACTAAAAAATAATACAGCATAAATAGCTATCAGAGCTCTCAAAATGACAAATGTTAACGATTAAAACGAGAAAACTATGTTACTAACGGCCTGATTTATGTACACAACACTAAACACAAACAAATATGTGTCCCCGGCATGACACTTCCAAGCTTATCGAGGTAGAACGTCATTGTTAGAAAAACGCCGTTAATAAACAGGATAAAAAATGAAAACTACACATTAAATAATTTCAGGCGTCCGAAGCGCTTTTCTGGATTTACCTTCATCAGGAACGTTCAAAGCCGAATATTTTAAAGCCGAGACTAAATAAGAACTGAAACCCCACAAATAGCGAAATCCATCTAAGGTCATCCATACCTGAGGGAGTTGAAACCTTATTTTCTTTATAATTTTTAAATTTATAAACTGACATTTTTAGAAAGGTTTGTAATAAATCATGTCAGTACCGACGTACTGACTACTAAGCTGATGATACCTTCGGGTCTTATAGTCCACCAGCAGAGGTATTGACCCAGTGCTGTGAAAAATGAAAACAACACGTTAAATAATGTCATGCGTCCGAAGCGCTTTCTGGATTGACTTCCACCAGGAACACCCAGAGCCGAATATTTGAAAGACGAGATAAATATTGAGATTGAATTGAATAAGTATTTGTGAAGAAGAGATAAACAAATAACCTTGGCCTCCTTTTTTTGCTGGCACTGAATTATACATATTTAAGTTCTAAAGAAATTTAACGTTATGGTTTAAAGTGAAAACTATTTGAATCTACATATAAAATTGATAAAAAAAAATCAAAATTCTCTGCTCTATAGATTTTCATAAATGAAGTCTAAATTATATCCATAATAAATGCACCGTATGAAATGTATACATGAGAACAACTACCTCGAATAGTCTCATTATGCCGGTATTCAAAAAGTCTCGTCTCATTGTTATTACAACAAATAGATCATAATAACCTGATAGAGTTTTTGGTTTCAGTATGTTCTAGATAAGTTTACAAAAAGCAGATTTTAGACAAGGTACCCTTGTAAGCCTGGAAATGGCTAGTCACATATAGTAATATAATAATGACGTTTATCTCACAATGGCGTTCCACCTCCATAATCGTGACGATTCACATATGATATTAGTTTTTTTTTGTTTTGAACTACGTTATGTCAGTTAATACCCTCGGACATGGTCCTGTCTATTCTTCTTCTTAATTGCATCTTTATTGCCAACGAAGCACCTTCTTTCTAGTATTGTAGATTTGTTTTTCACAACACAATTAATCAAAGAATTAGTTTGTCGCTTAATGAACAAAAAGACAACATTATAAATAAAGTATTTTTGATAAATCCGAGAGTTAATTTTATTCTTCCTGAATATAAAACTCTAATATGTCGCAAAAGGTGAAATTTTGTACAGTCGAAACAAAGTCAAAAGTCTTACAGGCGTGGTAGTAAAAAGAGAAGTAGCAATAGGTGAAGTATCTAATATATACAATGTATCTAATATAATGTTTGGTGTTCATTTTGTGTTATACGGAATGTAAATGAAAATTGTAGGATTTCATGATTATATATCAGCAAATTGTATTGACTTCAACTTTTCACTGTTGCATGAACATGCTGTTTTATTTCACTGATTACTATTAGACGTGTTACGAAAAGGTATATACTCGACGCTGAGGTTGACAATTTAGACTTTAAATGTGGGGACTGTGTCAAATCATTGACTATCGATTGAAACAGGTAAAATTTAATTTCAGTGATGTTAACCAGGTGCAATGTATCCTACATACTTCTTGGTTCATTAAAATTTAACAAATTTTGAATAATCATTTTCTGATAATTATCATTGCTTGTGATCATAGGATCGGAAAGGTGTATCTGTGTGCGGGGGAGGGACGATGGTTTATTAATTTCAATCTGTCACTACACTTCTGAACCTCGTCCTGAGAATGCATGAACTATTTGTCATTGGACGAAAACAAACAACAATCAATCAATCTCTGCATGCAAAACCCGTACAAAATTTTACAGTCAGGTTGATTTTTTTCGGATGTCTCCATAGGCTTCCATTGGCACTTTGGAAGTTTTTAAGCGCCAACGACGTGTTCCACGTGTACACCTGACACCCGAACGATAATTGCAATTTTATTTTTTCAAATTTATTAGGTCTTTCCACTTTTCTGTGGAAAAACCTATTGATTATGTTCTGATTATTATTTTTTTCTTCTTCCGCCACATTTTTTGTTACGGTGCTTTGTGGTTTCGCAAGATGTCGCTTAGATTTTTTTGCATGTGATATCGAACAGTTATTGCGCTTCTGAAACTGATCCTGTTTAGCTGAACACTTTTTATCGTAAGAGTTATCTCCCCAAACACTGTTTTTCATGAGTGCGCATCATCTTCGCAACCGTGAAAGTTTACGACAAAAATATTTCACTAATTTGCTCGTTATATCCTCAGGATCTTCAGAATATTTTAACCGAAGCGATCCGGAGTCTCCATATGAGAGTTATTTCTCTTTTAGTACTTTAATTAAGAAAAATGTAATTGTAACTAGTAAACCATAAGTGATAGAGACCTAGGGTCTTTTGATTTGACGTCCTTGGTCCCAAAAAAAAAATCAAGGTGAAGGTCAAAGGTTAAGGTCATGTTCTAAATTTAGATATTGGCATATATCAAATCTTTTTCGAAACTGTATTAGATGTCGACAAATAATTTTAACTAAATTGTTAGCTCCGACATGTCGTAACACATAAATCTTGGTTGAAAGGGTGCGTCGACATAAAACATGTAAAATGGAGTTTTAGCCCCTCTTATATTTAGAATTATGCGTATAGTAATATTACTCATTAACCATCTATAACAAAGATCTAGTGTCTTTTAATTTGATATCCTTGGTTTATGACCTTGAAATTGAGGTCAAGGTCATAAATAATTTTGACGTTCTAGATTTTGGCCTTTGCTTTAACTTTATATGTATGCATGATAAAGCTATAAGACTTTGTGCATTTAGTTGCAAGCCATATGACCTTGAAAAATGAACCGGAAGTGACCTTGTGTAAACCGGAAGTAGCTATTTTTTGTACTTTTTGAATGTAAAAGTATAAATACCAATATATTTTTGGAATCAGTGTCAAGTTAACTATCAAATGAAACCGGAAGTGACATTTTTCCAATCGCCAGTAACAAATTATCTCCCTTATTTAAAAAAAATTTGTGAAGAAACCATATATTTTTGGAATCAGCTATCAGTTAGATGTCATCCCACACTGGAATTGACATTTTAAACTCGATTTTGATATTTTCATATCAAGATACATGGTTTTTTTGTAAAAAGACCTTCAATTGTTCTCTGAAAAATTGGTTTTTAATTATTTCTGCTCTTGTTCTACATGCAGCTATAAGTTAATGGTACCAATGGAGAATAACGTACAGAGAACGACATGCGATATTTCTATTTTACCTAAAATGACAAAATCATGGGGGAATCTGATTTCATACGTGGCCAATTGAAGGAAGTAAATTACACTGTATAGCTTCATCCTGTTGTCCTATTAAACTGCTGCGTGTTAACCTGTTATGATTCCTATTGTCCACAAAAACCTGCTTAGGTATGCAGTAACGGTATCTGTAGTAAAATTGTGTCCTGATCTGGTTTTAAAATGGCACGAAAATTGCTGTCAATTGCCGCTAATGCTTTGTGAATTTTATGCCAACTTTTCACGTAGTTTTCGAGGATTGAAACCGTCACAAAGTGAGTGACATTTTTAACCCTTACAAGAGAAATTAAAATTCTAGTGTAAACTTTTTTTTTGTAAGTTAGAGTCAGAGAAATAAACAAAGAAAATACATTAACATGCATTAGTGTTTATATGACAAGAAGTACTTGTCTAACTGTTTGAAAGGCGGGTCAAACGGGTTAAGACAAAGGAATATATATAAGATGTCTTTTTCCAAAGATCCTCTGAGTTATTTTGTTGGGTCAAACCAGTCACATTTTGCATGGAAATAATAAGGGAAATTAATCTTTTCCTGAGTATGTTGTAACAGATTATGATATATAAAATCATTTCAAATGTCTAATAAGAGCTAGTTAGGCCCTACTAGTGGTGTCATGCTGGTCATATGTATAATAGCCAAAAATTCAAAATATGTAACCTCTGCAAAATTACCGGCAAAAAATATCCAAAATGAATCCATAAAAAAAAGTTCCACATTTTCTATGTATATACATACGTTGTGCCAATTTGATAAGCGCCTAGGTTGGGAGTTTATTACTCAAAACGGGTACCCTCTTCTCCCGCTCGCCTGCAAGTCCAACCGCCCGCCAACGATATTTCATAATATGGTATGATAAGTCGGTTATGTATTGTGTACAACCCGTCCAAAAGTTCTGACACATCTTTAATTTAAATGTTCGTCACTATTGATTTCGAAACCGCAAATATTAAAAAAAAAAGTTGCTTAAATTTTTAAGGGTTGGCTAGAGATTTTTTTTTCTCTTATCCATTACTACCTTTTCTCTGCTGTCCTTTCTGCTAAACGCTTGTCTCCTGTCAGTGTTCCAAAATATAAAAAAGAAGAAATATTATGGGGTATATCATTTTTATTCTTCACGGAATAATTATTATTGAATATTTGTTACATAAGGAATATTTATAATGAAATTATCTATGATGTTTTCAAAGGACGTTTGTTATCAGAAACACTTATACGTGAACGTCATTACTATGCAGTTTAAACACAAGATTCAGTTGACACACAAGTAATTTAAATTTTTAAATCACTTTTATGTTTTGATACGATACCCGCATTTAAAGTCTAATTTGTCAACCTCAACGTGGAGTATATACCTTTTTGTAACATGTCTATTAGAAGTGGGATGTCGCATGTTTAAATTCGGATTATAATTTTATTTGTCGTTGTCAATCTTCAAACTCTAGTTAAAATTTTTTCGTAGAAAAGGTCTTGCGCATAAGCACCTGCATCCTGTGAAAACAACTGTCAGCTATGTATTTGAACAGCACACGGTACGCCAAAGCTACTAACAATATATTATATACCAGCAGTAGTCATTTTATGGAAAGAAAATAACAGTATTGAGAAATGCTAATCCTTTGTACAATGTCATAATTACTACAACAACAACAACAACAACAACAGCAACTTCATGTGCAAGAGGATAGATAAATAATACATAATATATACTTTTGTGACAAATTGTAATTTGAGAAAAATTCAATATATGTTTTACAGAGCGGATATCAGTTCATCTAGAAAAAAATAAATTCAACTTGCAAATTAAAGGCCTTCCACACAGTTTATCAAACTCAATGGATAAGGAACACAACATGAATATTGAAGGTAAATAATTAACATTATATCAGTATACTTCTCAGTACATTAATTTCTGAAACATTAACAACGTCAGATAAGGCATTCAATGTATGTTTCGGAAATAATCTTCAAAGGATATTCTTGAAAACTGTTATTCATAAATAATTCACTGCTGCAATATTGCATACAATTTCTTTTTAACTGTATTTACGTTTGCAGCTCCTACACTTTTAGAATGTGGTTTTGGGAGCATGTTTTTTAAAATCTGTCGCATTTTTGGTGAAATTACTCCAAATGATGATTCGCATGGCTAGTGGTGCAAGTTCAGCATAAGATGTTTATTTTCTCGACGATTTTTTACCGTTATTCGATTCCCCGAATTTTTGTTTGTTACCTCAATTTGTAGCTTTTTCCCTTGACTTGATATGAGAGTTGAACAAGTTGTAACTACTGTTGTTAATGTATATACTGTTACGGTTTAGAGGGTTAGCTGTAAGATTGTACTTTTTCGGGCTACTCAGTAAACACTCTATTCTACTTTCGCGTTTGTCGTTTACTGCTAGCCAACGTGTATATAAGACATTTGATGACACTACATATACTTTTGTTGTTATTGTATGTAAATATTGTTAGTACTGTCACTGGGAATAATAATATAGAGTTCGTCTTCATTGTTTGACCAGGAGGGGGTCCATTGACTGAACGAATATTCCCACTTTCTGTCTATACTTATTCTATACGTTCCCGCTTTTTTACCTTGCTATTTTATTTACGTAAGGCCTGACTATTGTAACCGGGGCCCATACATGCTAAGAGTAAGCTTAGATAAGTCCCGTTTGCCCATTTCCCGACTCGACAGAATGTCAACATTCACAATTGCCGCCATTTGCATCACTATGTTTATTGACGTCAGTGACCTAATGACCTGAGATCAGCTTCAAATCAACACAAAGTAATTTGCCCGACATCACCATAGGGGCACGAGACTTTGGTGGGACAGAAGTATAAAAACGAGTGCACAACAGTCTTCAAAGAGACTGCGGCCCGCTACCAGGGCATTCACTCCTGATACAAATGAAATTACCAAAGCAAACCAAATGCGCCGCAGTCGATGCAACCCGTGAAACACATGAACCTTTGCTATTGTATGCATCCCCGATGGATAAATGACCCAAACCATGATTGACCTAGATGTTGTACTACGTTTACTTCGATGTTGACAAACGATTAACATACCAAAAAGGAGAGTCTACGTATATTTTACAACCTAGGTGCTTTGGTTGGTTTCCATGTGATTTATACTTGTAATAGATTTAGATATTTTGTAAATGTATTAAATTGTAAGCTAAAATAAATCTTGTTATCTGTCGACATGTAATAAGTAAGTCGATGTTAATAAGTTTCTGAGATACCATTTTTAGACCAGTGCCTTAGCTGTTTTGCGTGCTACGCCACCATTGCCTTGACCATTTTGCCAGCTACGTTACCAGTATAACTTATTTTGTAACTCGACACCAGGGTTGACAGATAGTAGAATTGACCAATAACATAGTCTCCAGTGTGTTTACCCGTAATAGTTCGTTTACTTATGAGACACAACCCCCGTCCCGTAACAATACTACTAGGTTTAAAGCTTTTACAGGAAAAGTAGAAAGATTGTTGATCTACTTAAATATATTTGATATGCACATAATATAATAATATTCATGTAATTTAGAATTACTTTTTTTCTGATACTCTATATGTTAATTATAAATATTCGTTATATGCTGACAGTGTTGACCTCGTGGAATTGTTTACGAAAGATTTGCAAGGTTTCACTTTATTCGCTAGCAAAGTATCGTTTTAAAATTGAAACGATTCATATGCAAATGTTTTATATTTATATGCAGATCATGTTGTACTCAATGTGTTTGCTATTTAAACGTGTATGCATTTTTCGTTCATGTTAAGTAGTTACTGCGGCTGAATTAAACTTTCAAATAAACATCTTAACATCCAAACCATGCGATAACCATAGGATAAACGAGTATCTTTACTATCACTTAACTTTTACTCTGTCAAATTACAGATGGTGAAAAATACGTTTCGTTATGGTATTAATTGTTTTTTCATTTCTTCAATATATATATAGCATTATTTCAGTATGCTCTTTTTGACCGGGCCCGCATTGGTAGTGCGACATCTTGCAAAGTCTAACCGAATTATTTTGCTAAGAATTCCACTTAAACCGGTGCTCGAGGACGTGTTAAATTTGCAGTGAGGTGAGGGTTTTTGTGCTTCGTGTTGAAGCTAGGCACCACTGTGATTTTGAGATGAAGAACAGCAAAGCATGCGCTGTTTCTTTGTTTTTTGTGTGTTTTTTTCTCTACAAGTGCTGATTTTATGTCATGGATGGATATCCTTTATTTTTCTATAATATTGACGGAGATTGTCCCTCTGTTGTGTCGAGGTTGTAGCAGGTGTCCCCGTGCTTGAGGTGTATGCTCCTGGATTTTTAAAGTTATGTTGCATTTATTCTTAGATAACTTCTTTTATATGTGCCACATCATTCTTTCAAAGGCCAGTTTGTTTACAATTTTAATAAGACGCACATCACCTAGTCTTGGCCCCATCACTATCAATGTAATTTTTTTCAATTTCAAGCATTTATTTGGGCGCTCTCAATGTACCGTTTTTCTCCTTATTAGACCACACTGGTTATCGGAACTTTGGAAATACCAAATTAGTTACTTCATATCTAAGAAACAGTTAATATATGCCCTCCATTTAAAATTTACTCATACCTTTTTGTATTATTCAAAATTATCAGTAAAAAGCAGTTCTAGAAGGATCAGTAGGCCTTCGCCTAGCATTGATATCTAAATTACCAGAATATATTCAAATATATAGTTTGATATTTACACATATCTTAAATATGTATTACTTTCCGGACTGTTCCTGTTCACAGGGCCCGATTTGGTGATGTTTCAATGTCTACCCAAATTATTTTGCAGAGAATTAATTCAGCTCCAATCGGTGCTAGGGGCCGTTTAAAACTTGCAGGGAGGTGATAATTTTTTTTTAGCTCCATGTTTAAGGCTTAACTGTCACTTTGATATAAAAAAAACAGCTGTTTCTTTGCTTTGTGTGTGATTTTTTGTGTCATGGATGGATATCCCATGTCTTCCGTTTTTCTATTATAATAGGTATAATGTTTAGACTAACCATATCCGAACTTTTCTGACTTGGTTCCATTAATATATCCACCAGAACTAGAAATTAAAGAAACAACAGTCACGGCTTCCTCCGCCTCATTTTTAGACTTCTACCTCGAATTTGACATACACAGTCATCTCAGTACCAGAATCTATGACAAACGAGACGATTTTAATTTTGAAATTATCAATTTCCCCCACCTTAGTAGCAATATACCAACTTCACCTGCATATGGGATATACATTTCCCAACTTATTCGGTATTCAAGAGCTTGCAGCTCCTACTCAGACTTTGTAAAACGTCACCAGTGTCTGAGCAGAAAGTTGATGAACCAGGGGTATGTCAAAGAACGTCTCGTTCTTTTTCTAAAAAAGTTCATCGGAAGGTACCAAGAACTTGTTGATAAATATTCCGTATCAACTTCACAAATAATACACGATGGTCTTGAAGTATAGATTTTGCGTACTGACGTTGTTTATCATCTTACTATCGTGTTATAGTATTCTTTTATTTATCTTTATTAATATTACTTTTACTGTTAAGTCTGTTTTTTTTGAGATATCCATTTGACGAGACTCTGTGCTTATGTATCCCGTCATACTTTGAACGACAAAATTATTTTAATTATTAATATTACTTTTACTTTTGAGTCTGTTTTTTGTGATATACATTTGACGTGAATCTGTACTTATGTATATCGTCATACATTGTACCACACAATTATTTTATTTTATTTATAAATATTACTTTTACTGTTAAGTCTGTTTTTTGTTATATCCATTTTACGTGACTCTGTATTTATGTATCCCCTCATACTTTGAACGATAAAATCATTTTATGTCTACCTGTGCGAATTTCAAACGCGCGATTTTACGCCAGTACTTAAAACCTTCCATCCTTTATGGGTGGATCTTACATAGATAAATAAAATCGTATAATATAAGCAAAACGAGGATTTTGAATTTGATGTATGCCTTTTTGTGCTTCTTCGTTACATTTGTTTGTTTTTATAGTGATTTAGATGATAACACAATGTTGACTGCTGTACCCCTTTTTTGACATTTTTACCTATTGTGTCTGTTTGTTTTGTTCACGCATCGTTGTCAATATAATGGAATTTGATGCGACTGTCATACAAATGAGAGGTTTAGCTAGCTATAAAACCAGGTTCAATCCACCATTTACCACATAAGAAAATGTCTGTACCAAGTCAGGAATATAACAGTTGTTATACATTCGTTTGATGTGATTGTTTTTTTGATTTTGCCATTTGATTGGGGACTTTCCTTTTTGAATTTTCCTCGGAGTTCAGTATTTTGTGATTTTACTTTTTATTACTTCCTATAACAAAATAAATTATACTAAGGTAGAACGCATGGAATGATTAATCTTATTATTCCAAAAATCATTAACTTTCATTTTTAAACTTTAGAAAGCCTGATCATAAACGATAAAACAGCTCATATAAATGCATAATCAAATATGATATCAATTAGAAAATCAGTAATAAAATCTATAATAATGTAAATTTTCTTGCAGAAAGTGTCGATTTCTCTGTGATATGGACCTGGCATTACACACAAAAGAAACACTCATGGGATGTTGTTTCCATAGCAGATACTATTAATAGTAAAATACAGCATCTACGCGACTGGTTCCATGTAGAGTATGCAAAAATAGATATATCTGGGAGGCTAGCTCTTCAAACAACTACAGCTAGTCATACATTTAGCTCACTTTCATCACTTGAAATGGCAGTGAAATCCTTTCTAGAAAAATTCATTGAAGTGTGTGACTTTGAAAAATACATTGAAGAAGAGCAAATGATTAAACTCGATGTGACATGCCAGTTAAATGAGGATAATGGTACGTAATTACTACAATTAAAAAATGTACAGAAATAATGAATTTACTTTAGCTTACAGACGAAATATGCAACTTAAAGGACAATAGAAATCTTTAGAAGTATTCGAAAAAAAAACAATTGCAGGATAATTCATATTATATATAGTAGCTTAGTTTTCGTAAACAATGTATTGATTTACTTTTATGAATGTTAAACATGTGTTAAAGTCGATTTTAGTTATACTTAGTACTATACCTTGAACTATTACGTCTCCTTTCCCAGTAGATTTTATCGATTTACCATAATGCATTTTCATTTGATCGCTCTTTTTAAAATTGGTAGACGATAATCCCGAAATTAGGAGAGAAGAAATGGAAAAGCCAGTTGATACAATACTTACATGTGACGACTGTAAGAAAGATTTGATATGCCTTGTGTGCAAAACCAGTAAGAGCTTGATATCAAGATTGAATGATAAACTGCAAGAGCAAAGGAACACTATCATGAGTGAGTTTATGTGTATACAGTAATGTAAAAAGTACAGTAACCCATGCGTCAAAACGGAAATTCAATTTGGTTTTTATTAATTAGAATAATTTCAATAATATTGAAATAATTTCTCATCAAATACATCTAAGTAAAAAGTTTAATATAATATTGTGCCTTAAATATGTTTAATTGTGCTAATAGCTTCATACCTTGAGCGTACAAAGTAAGTAATGTATGCGCTCTCATCAATGAATTTCAATTCATTTAGCCTAGTACACTAGTTACACATCAAAAACAAATGGTGTCTAGGTTTAAATCTTTCTATGGTATTATACTATTTATGCACACATTTCAAATTATCAGATGTAAACATCAACATAACGGCATTTCCCTTTAAAAATATAGTACTCAGTTTAGTTGTTATTATTCAGAATGTTGATAAGCTGTATTGCGTATTATTTACAGGCTGGTAGGTATTTTAATCGTATACTTAACAGAGTACTCCTATTTTGAAAATGTTCATTCCATGAAGGCATGTTGTGCCATGATCTGATATTATTGAAAAACAATGTATTGTATTATTGACATTTTTTACCCTTTTAAAGGCTTTCAATTGAGCCTGTTTTTATCAAAGAATGCGATAGTAATGAGCGATATACATTGGATGGAACTAATGTAGTGCATGTTTGCATTTAGATGTTGTTACGTTTACAATTTCATATTACTATTTTTTCATTTACATGAAGGATTACAAAGACGCATGTCGACATTTGGAGAATGGAATGAAGGTAAATTTCTTAATTTATTTTAAAGTAATTTGAAGGCATCATATGATAATCGTTTGTTGTCAGTTGTTTCTAAAGAATTTGTTCTGTAACTCGATTCTTCAAATGATAAATCATCAAATAAATCGAAGTAAAACGTTTAATATCATACTGTTGTCCCCAAAATATGTGTATATATGAAACTGTTTCATTCATTTCATGTTTAAAATTGAGAATGGAAATGGGGAATGTGTCAAAGAGACAACAACCCGACCTTAGAGCAGACAACAGCCGAAAGCCACCAATGGGTCTTCAATGTAGCGAGAAACTCCCGCACCCGAAGGCGTCCTTCAGCTGGCCCCTAAACAAATATGTATACTAGTTCAGTGATAATGGACGTCATATTAAACTCCAAATTATACATAGGAAACTAAAATTAAAAATGATACAAGACTAACAAAAGCCAGAGGCTCCTGACTTGGGACAGGCGCAAAAATGCGGCGGGGTTAAACATGTTTTTTGAGATTTCAGCCATCCCCCTATACCTCTAGCCAATGTAGAAAAAACAAACGCACAACCGTACGTACAGTAAAACTCAGTATAAGAGAAGTCCGAGTCCGATGTCAGAATAGGAAACAAAAGAAAGTAAACAAAATGACAATATTATATAAATAACAACAGACTACTAGCAGTTACTAACATGCCAGCTCCAGACCTCAATTAAACTGATTAAAAGATTATGTCTTCATCATATGAATATCAGGCACAATCCCTCCTGTTAGGGGTTTAGTATTATACCGTCATAAAATATATGATAAGAACATAACCCGTGTCATGCCAACAACTGGTTTTAGAATAAATGTGTTAATTCCGATGCAAAGACCCTATAAGTGAATTAATATTAAAGCCAAAATATGCAATCTTTAATGACCTGACAACAGTATCGTAACTATATCCCTTCTTAATAAGTCTGTTTAAAGGTTTAGTTAGCTTTTGAGGTGAATACTGACATGTTTGTGCTTTGTAAAGAATATTACCATAAAAGATTGGATGTGAAATACCCGAACGTATAAGATATCTGCATGTTGAGTTATATTTACGAATGATGTCCTTATACCGATGATAAAATTTAGTAAATGTTTTGACTAGTTTATGATATCGAAAACCCTGTTGTAATAATTTTCAGTAATACATAAATTTCTCTCGCTAAAATCTAATACGTTGTTACATACACGAGCGAATCGTACAAGTTGAGATATATAAACACCATAAGATGGTGACAAGGGAACGTCACCATCTAAAAATGGATAATTAACGATAGGAAATGAAAAATCATCTCTTTTATCATAAATTTTTGTATTAAGCTTCCCGTTAATGATATAGATATCAAGATCGAGGAAAGGACAGTGGTCATTGTTGGTATTAGCTTTATTTAAAGTAAGTTCAACAGGATAAATTTCTTTAGTATACACACTGAAGTCGCCATTATTGAGAGCCAATATATCATCCAAATATCTAAAAGTATTGTTAAATTTTTGTATCAGATGTTGTTTCGATGGGTCTTTGCTGATTTTAGTCATTAATTGTAACTCATAACAATACAAAAACAGGTCCGCAATAAGTGGTGCACAGTTAGTCCCTATTGGAATTCCGATAACTTGACGATATACGGAATCTCCAAAGCGAACAAAAATGTTATCAAGTAAAAATTCAAGGGCAGATATAGTATCAAAGCATGTCCAATTGCCTTTATTCTCAAATCTTAAGCTTATAAGAAAATCTTTGTATGCAATATTAAATACACTCGGCAATGTGCTTTAATTAATTAAGTCGCGTCCAATTTTTGTTCAGTAATAAATTTATATTTTAAAATATATTATCTGAAAAAAATGAGTTATATAATGTATAATTTCAGGTTTTGCTGATGATGTCTTTTCATCGGACGACGAAACAGAGGATTTGGATTTTGGTAAATATGCTGCAAGAAATCTTTGCCTATTCATTATTCAACAAACATTTTTTTCATTATAAAAAAAAAGTATATAAAGTGTTTTTAAATCACAGTAAACTTTGACAAAATGAATAAAAATCACAAAAGAGATAATTAACAGTGCCAAGGTCACTAATAATAAACTAAAGATTGAATTGCTAAAATCAAATTAAAACAACAGAGGATTACCTGAAATTGTTAATTAAGAGAATGTGAACTTGTTTAGATTCATTCAGCCTTCGTGGTACCGGTGGTAGTTCAAAACATGTACATACGAAACAATCTGAAAAAGAGTATAAACGAAATAAATGATGATAAAATCTGGATTTTACAATTACAAATTATGTTTAAACAGATATTCTATAATGGTCATAACAATCTCGAAGGCGTCCATAAAGACTGCAAGTATGTAGTTGATGCTTTAAATCAAAGATATTCCTGCGAAAAACGTGTATTTCAATAGCAAAACTGTGTCAGTGAAGTCTTAATATGTAGCATTCAATTTGGTACAGCTGGAAGATTTATACTCAATTGTAAGGTTGCGTTTGCTTTTTGTTACCAAATCCTGAAATTTCATTAAAAGACAACCATAATTGGAAGCCATTTCGTTTTTCGTAATGATTTTTTTCGAAACCTTTATGGTTAATATTTTATTACTGATGTCCCGTAGGTGTCTGTTTAGATCTTGTAGTCATACGGTTTAATTTTGTAGTCCATTTTTTTTAAACAATCTGCAATCAATTCCATCACCATGCCTAATATATCATGTACTGTGTTACAACTCTAGATTCTACTGACGTGAAAATGTAACACTAGACCACCGAAAGTTGAATTATTAGTTCAGTGTAGGTGGCCGAGTTATCTAGAGCGATGGACACAGTGCAGGTGGTGTTGTCTCGATATCCCAATAGGATGAGTTCGAATCCTGGCAAGGGAAGAACAAAAATTTGCTTCCGAAAATTTGCAGATTCAATATTGTTGTGCTGATATTTAGAGTAGTTATATAAGAATTTAGACTTGTTTATATTTGTTCGTTTGGGCTTGTATTATATTTGCTTTCGGATGTATATAATCCATTCATCTATATTCAAGAGTCTATCCTAAATTGAGGTAAATTATGTTGCCTTCATAATACCGTTTCGATTCCTAACATCACTGAAGAGACATTAATTGTCGAAATCCGGATATGATGTATCAAGTTTTGCAACTCATGTGTGCGGGCTTGTATTATATTTGCCTTCGGGTTTATGTAATCCGTTCATCCTATTTCAACTCTTCAAAATTCAAGAGTCTATCTTAAATTGAGGTAAATTTATATGGTCTTCCAAATACCGTTTCGATTCCTAACATCACTCAAGAGAAATTAATTGTTGAAATCCGGATATGGTGTACAAATTTTTGCACATTATGTTTCCGGTATACCATCTTTATCTGGTGATCCGTTTTTTTTTGGCAATCGCCATGGCAGTCAGCAGGCTTTAAGGTTGCATTTTATAAATACAGCTGTTTCTTAAACCACGCCTCTTTTAAGGAATGTATAATATTCATAGATACATTATGTTGTATACGTACTTATTCCCAGATATGATCTCTATGTTTCATCTCATAGAGACATAACTTGGGAATGTTACCAGTATAAATAAAAAAAATATAGCGGCAGCCTTGAATTCTGAAAGAGACCAAAAGTAAAGGTAGGGGTAGTTCAGAATTTAAGTACAAGTTTAAACTCTAATAAGTTCGGGGCATATAAATGTTGAAAATATGCCGCACAGCCCTATAATTTGACCTTTGAAAAAAAAAATCGAAACTTCATAGTAAAAGTTGTACAGGTTCAGCCGTAAAAGGAGTTTCATGGGAAATTGCATTGTCAATATTTACAGAAATGAAACCTATATTGGATGAAAAAAGGGAACTTACAGAATTTCGCAAAATCTGGTTATCTCAGAGATTTTAATGAAATCAACTCACATATGAAGTTTTATAAATATTTCATGAAGATTGGGAAAATCCTGGGCCTTAACTATGATGACTCAGCATAAATTCACAGTTTAGGGTATGCATAGTTTACTTAAATAGATATAAGAAGATGTGGTATGAGTTTCAATGAGACAACTCTCCATCCAAGTCACAATTTGTAAAAGTAAACCATTATAGGTCAAAGTACGGTCTTCAACACGGAGCCTTGGCTCACACCGAACAGCAAGCTATAAAGGGCCCAAAAAAAGACTAGTGTAAACCATTCAAACGGGAAAACCAACGGTCTTATCTATTGAAAAACGAGAAACGAGAAACACTTATGAACCACATCAACAAACGACAACTAATGAACATCAGATTCCTGACTTAGGACAGGTACAAACGAATGCAGCGGGTTTAAACGTTTTAATAGGTACCAACCTTCACCCTTATCTGAAAAAATGTCGTAACATCACAACAAAGAAAGACAAACTATAAAATATCAATTGAATTGGCTTAACTCAATCAAAAGACATATTACCACAAGTGAACATACACTGAACTAATAAATTTGATATATGATAAAATGTAAATACAAAATCAAAAAAATAAGGGGTGAATCAATAAAGGCAACAGTAGTTTACCGCTGTGAGATGTTAAACAATTTAAAAAAAAACAACAATAACCTCGAACAAAAAGCCGCCATATACAATAATATACACAGGTAAATAATTTTGTGGTTAGGTATAGAGTTCAAATGGAGAATGAAAATATTTTTTACAAAATAAATAATTTTGTTGTTTTTAGTACGAAGAAGTGAAAAATTATAGTTATACCAATCGCCAATGGCAGTCAGCAGGGTTTAAGAACAATCGTTGTTCGACCTGTTAGTCAAATGCGTTTTGTTGAAATATACTTTTTCACTTTTTTGGTCTTTTGGAAAATGGTGTTTGTGCTGTATTTAGACCCTTCTACCAACAAATTTGTTTTGCATGCACACGTATAAAACTTGCGACATTAGTTGTCGAAATCCGGATATGGTGTACAAATTTTTGCACCTCATGTTTGAGGTATACCATTTTCAGCAAGTTTATTGTTTTCTGTTTGGTATTAAATTAATATTAAAGATCCATTTGTTACATCTTGTGATTCGTTTATTTGGCAATCGCCAATGGCAGTCAGCAGGGTTTAAGAACATCCGTTGTTCGACCTGAAGGCAAATGCGTTTTGTTTAAATATACCTTTTCACTTTTTTTGGTCTTTTGGAAAATGTTGTTTGTGCTGTATTTAGACCCCTCTACCAAGAAATTTGTTTCGTATGCACACGTATAAAAATTGCGGTTTTTATCCAACGCAATCATAGGTTTGAACTTTGTTTTTAATTTAGACTTATTTATATTTTTTCGTTTGGGCTTGTATTATATTTGCCTTCGGGTTTATATGATCCGTTCATCCTATTTCGACTCTTCAAAATTCAAGAGTCTTTCCTAAATTGAGGTAAACTATATGGCCTTCCAAATACCGTTTCGATTTCTAACATCACTGAAGAGATATTAATTGTCGAAATCCGGATATGGTGTACAAATTTTTGCACCTCATGTTTGAGGTATACCATTTTCAGCAAGTTTATTGTTTTCTGTTTGGTATTAAATTAATATTAAAGATCCATTTGTTACATCTTGTGATGCGTTTATTTGGCAATCGCCGATGGCAGTCAGCAGGGTTTAAGAACATCCGTTGTTCGACCTGTTTGTCAAATGCGTTTTGTTTAGATATACATTTTCACTTTTTTGGTCTTTTGGAAAATGTTGTTTGTGCTGTATTTAGACACCTCTACCAAGAAATTTGTTTTGCATGCACACGTATAAAAATTGCGGTTTTTATCCAACGCAATCATAGGTTTGAACGTTGTTTTCAATTTAGACTTATTTATATGTTTTCGTTTGGGCTTGTATTATATTTGCCTTCGGGTTTATATGATCCGTTCATCCTATTTCGACTCTTCAAAATTCAAGAGTCTATCCTAAATTGAGGTAAATTATATGGCCTTCCAAATACCGTTTCGATTTCTAACATCACTGAAGAGACATTAATTGTCGAAATCCGGATATGGTGTACAAATTTTTGCACCTCATGTTTGCGGTATACCATTTTCAGCAAGTTTATTGTTTTCTGTTTGGTATTAAATTAATATTAAAGATCCATTTGTTACATCTTGTGATGCGTTTATTTGGCAATCGCCAATGGCAGTCAGCAGGGTTTAAGAACATCCGTTGTTCGACCAGTTAGTCAAATGCGTTTTGTTTAAATATACCTTTTCACTTTTTTTGGTCTTTTGGAAAATGTTGTTTGTGCTGTATTTAGACACCTCTACCAAGAAATTTGTTTTACATGCACACCTATAAAAATTGCAGTTTTTATCCAACGCAATCATAGGTTTGAACGTTGTTTTTAATTTAGATTTATTTATATTTTTCGTTTGGGCTTGTATTATATTTGCCTTCGGGTTTATATGATCCGTTCATCCTATTTCGACTCTTCAAAATTCAAGAGTCTATCCTAAATTGAGGTAAACTATATGGCCTTCCAAATACCGTTTCGATTTCTAACATCACTGAAGAGACATTAATTGTCGAAATCCGGGTATGGTGTATAAATTTTTGCACCCCATGCTCGCGGTAAACCATCTTTTCCGCAAGTTTATTGTTTTCTGTTTGGTATTAAATTAATATTAAAGATCCATTTTGTAACATCTTGTGGCCCGTTTATTTGGCAATCGCCAATGGCAGTCAGCAGGGTTTAAGCACATCCGTCACCAAAAAAAATAAAATCATGAACAAAATGTTACCTTATATCTTTCATCAGTAAGATGTCAAATAAATCTTATCTTGACATGTGGTAGTCAAACTGATATAGTTATCTTGACGGTTTACAAATTATCACGAATCAATACGCTGGTAATTTTTTCAATATTGATGTTTGGGAGGAGGAATAAATTCTTGAAAGTGAGAAGAATCCTCTGAGTTATTTTGTTGGGTCAAACCAGTCACATTTTGCATGGAAATAATAAGGGAAATTAATCTTTTCCTGAGTATGTTGTAACAGATTATGATATATAAAATCATTTCAAATGTCTAATAAGAGCTAGTTAGGCCCTACTAGTGGTGTCATGCTGGTCATATGTATAATAGCCAAAAATTCAAAATATGTAACCTCTGCAAAATTACCGGCAAAAAATATCCAAAATGAATCCATAAAAAAAAGTTCCACATTTTCTATGTATATACATACGTTGTGCCAATTTGATAAGCGCCTAGGTTGGGAGTTTATTACTCAAAACGGGTACCCTCTTCTCCCGCTCGCCTGCAAGTCCAACCGCCCGCCAACGATATTTCATAATATGGTATGATAAGTCGGTTATGTATTGTGTACAACCCGTCCAAAAGTTCTGACACATCTTTAATTTAAATGTTCGTCACTATTGATTTCGAAACCGCAAATATTAAAAAAAAAAGTTGCTTAAATTTTTAAGGGTTGGCTAGAGATTTTTTTTTTCTCTTATCCATTACTACCTTTTCTCTGCTGTCCTTTCTGCTAAACGCTTGTCTCCTGTCAGTGTTCCAAAATATAAAAAAGAAGAAATATTATGGGGTATATCATTTTTATTCTTCACGGAATAATTATTATTGAATATTTGTTACATAAGGAATATTTATAATGAAATTATCTATGATGTTTTCAAAGGACGTTTGTTATCAGAAACACTTATACGTGAACGTCATTACTATGCAGTTTAAACACAAGATTCAGTTGACACACAAGTAATTTAAATTTTTAAATCACTTTTATGTTTTGATACGATACCCGCATTTAAAGTCTAATTTGTCAACCTCAACGTGGAGTATATACCTTTTTGTAACATGTCTATTAGAAGTGGGATGTCGCATGTTTAAATTCGGATTATAATTTTATTTGTCGTTGTCAATCTTCAAACTCTAGTTAAAATTTTTTCGTAGAAAAGGTCTTGCGCATAAGCACCTGCATCCTGTGAAAACAACTGTCAGCTATGTATTTGAACAGCACACGGTACGCCAAAGCTACTAACAATATATTATATACCAGCAGTAGTCATTTTATGGAAAGAAAATAACAGTATTGAGAAATGCTAATCCTTTGTACAATGTCATAATTACTACAACAACAACAACAACAACAACAGCAACTTCATGTGCAAGAGGATAGATAAATAATACATAATATATACTTTTGTGACAAATTGTAATTTGAGAAAAATTCAATATATGTTTTACAGAGCGGATATCAGTTCATCTAGAAAAAAATAAATTCAACTTGCAAATTAAAGGCCTTCCACACAGTTTATCAAACTCAATGGATAAAGAACACAACATGAATATTGAAGGTAAATAATTAACATTATATCAGTATACTTCTCAGTACATTAATTTCTGAAACATTAACAACGTCAGATAAGGCATTCAATGTATGTTTCGGAAATAATCTTCAAAGGATATTCTTGAAAACTGTTATTCATAAATAATTCACTGCTGCAATATTGCATACAATTTCTTTTTAACTGTATTTACGTTTGCAGCTCCTACACTTTTAGAATGTGGTTTTGGGAGCATGTTTTTTAAAATCTGTCGCATTTTTGGTGAAATTACTCCAAATGATGATTCGCATGGCTAGTGGTGCAAGTTCAGCATAAGATGTTTATTTTCTCGACGATTTTTTACCGTTATTCGATTCCACGAATTTTTGTTTGTTACCTCAATTTGTAGCTTTTTCCCTTGACTTGATATGAGAGTTGAACAAGTTGTAACTACTGTTGTTAATGTATATACTGTTACGGTTTAGAGGGTTAGCTGTAAGATTGTACTTTTTCGGGCTACTCAGTAAACACTCTATTCTACTTTCGCGTTTGTCGTTTACTGCTAGCCAACGTGTATATAAGACATTTGATGACACTACATATACTTTTGTTGTTATTGTATGTAAATATTGTTAGTACTGTCACTGGGAATAATAATATAGAGTTCGTCTTCATTGTTTGACCAGGAGGGGGTCCATTGACTGAACGAATATTCCCACTTTCTGTCTATACTTATTCTATACGTTCCCGCTTTTTTACCTTGCTATTTTATTTACGTAAGGCCTGACTATTGTAACCGGGGCCCATACATGCTAAGAGTAAGCTTAGATAAGTCCCGTTTGCCCATTTCCCGACTCGACAGAATGTCAACATTCACAATTGCCGCCATTTGCATCACTATGTTTATTGACGTCAGTGACCTAATGACCTGAGATCAGCTTCAAATCAACACAAAGTAATTTGCCCGACATCACCATAGGGGCACGAGACTTTGGTGGGACAGAAGTATAAAAACGAGTGCACAACAGTCTTCAAAGAGACTGCGGCCCGCTACCAGGGCATTCACTCCTGATACAAATGAAATTACCAAAGCAAACCAAATGCGCCGAAGTCGATGCAACCCGTGAAACACATGAACCTTTGCTATTGTATGCATCCCCGATGGATAAATGACCCAAACCATGATTGACCTAGATGTTGTACTACGTTTACTTCGATGTTGACAAACGATTAACATACCAAAAAGGAGAGTCTACGTATATTTTACAACCTAGGTGCTTTGGTTGGTTTCCATGTGATTTATACTTGTAATAGATTTAGATATTTTGTAAATGTATTAAATTGTAAGCTAAAATAAATCTTGTTATCTGTCGACATGTAATAAGTAAGTCGATGTTAATAAGTTTCTGAGATACCATTTTTAGACCAGTGCCTTAGCTGTTTTGCGTGCTACGCCACCATTGCCTTGACCATTTTGCCAGCTACGTTACCAGTATAACTTATTTTGTAACTCGACACCAGGGTTGACAGATAGTAGAATTGACCAATAACATAGTCTCCAGTGTGTTTACCCGTAATAGTTCGTTTACTTATGAGACACAACCCCCGTCCCGTAACAATACTACTAGGTTTAAAGCTTTTACAGGAAAAGTAGAAAGATTGTTGATCTACTTAAATATATTTGATATGCACATAATATAATAATATTCATGTAATTTAGAATTACTTTTTTTCTGATACTCTATATGTTAATTATAAATATTCGTTATATGCTGACAGTGTTGACCTCGTGGAATTGTTTACGAAAGATTTGCAAGGTTTCACTTTATTCGCTAGCAAAGTATCGTTTTAAAATTGAAACGATTCATATGCAAATGTTTTATATTTATATGCAGATCATGTTGTACTCAATGTGTTTGCTATTTAAACGTGTATGCATTTTTCGTTCTTGTTAAGTAGTTACTGCGGCTGAATTAAACTTTCAAATAAACATCTTAACATCCAAACCATGCGATAACCATAGGATAAACGAGTATCTTTACTATCACTTAACTTTTACTCTGTCAAATTACAGATGGTGAAAAATACGTTTCGTTATGGTATTAATTGTTTTTTTCATTTCTTCAGTATATATATAGCATTATTTCAGTATGCTCTTTTTGACCGGGCCCGCATTGGTAGTGCGACATCTTGCAAAGTCTAACCGAATTATTTTGCTAAGAATTCCACTTAAACCGGTGCTCGAGGACGTGTTAAATTTGCAGTGAGGTGAGGGTTTTTGTGCTTCGTGTTGAAGCTAGGCACCACTGTGATTTTGAGATGAAGAACAGCAAAGCATGCGCTGTTTCTTTGTTTTTTGTGTGTTTTTTTCTTTACAAGTGCTGATTTTATGTCATGGATGGATATCCTTTATTTTTCTATAATATTGACGGAGATTGTCCCTCTGTTGTGTCGAGGTTGTAGCAGGTGTCCCCGTGCTTGAGGTGTATGCTCCTGGATTTTTAAAGTTATGTTGCATTTATTCTTAGATAACTTCTTTTATATGTGCCACATCATTCTTTCAAAGGCCAGTTTGTTTACAATTTTAATAAGACGCACATCACCTAGTCTTGGCCCCATCACTATCAATGTAATTTTTTTCAATTTCAAGCATTTATTTGGGCGCTCTCAATGTACCGTTTTTCTCCTTATTAGACCACACTGGTTATCGGAACTTTGGAAATACCAAATTAGTTACTTCATATCTAAGAAACAGTTAATATATGGACTCCATTTAAAATTTACTCATACCTTTTTGTATTATTCAAAATTATCAGTAAAAAGCAGTTCTAGAAGGATCAGTAGGCCTTCGCCTAGCATTGATATCTAAATTACCAGAATATATTCAAATATATAGTTTGATATTTACACATATCTTAAATATGTATTACTTTCCGGACTGTTCCTGTTCACAGGGCCCGATTTGGTGATGTTTCAATGTCTACCCAAATTATTTTGCAGAGAATTAATTCAGCTCCAATCGGTGCTAGGGGCCGTTTAAAACTTGCAGGGAGGTGATAATTTTTTTTTAGCTCCATGTTTAAGGCTTAACTGTCACTTTGATATAAAAAAACAGCTGTTTCTTTGCTTTGTGTGTGATTTTTTGTGTCATGGATGGATATCCCATGTCTTCCGTTTTTCTATTATAATAGGTATAATGTTTAGACTAACCATATCCGAACTTTTCTGACTTGGTTCCATTAATATATCCACCAGAACTAGAAATTAAAGAAACAACAGTCACGGCTTCCTCCGCCTCATTTTTAGACTTCTACCTCGAATTTGACATACACAGTCATCTCAGTACCAGAATCTATGACAAACGAGACGATTTTAATTTTGAAATTATCAATTTCCCCCACCTTAGTAGCAATATACCAACTTCACCTGCATATGGGATATACATTTCCCAACTTATTCGGTATTCAAGAGCTTGCAGCTCCTACTCAGACTTTGTAAAACGTCACCAGTGTCTGAGCAGAAAGTTGATGAACCAGGGGTATGTCAAAGAACGTCTCGTTCTTTTTCTAAAAAAGTTCATCGGAAGGTACCAAGAACTTGTTGATAAATATTCCGTATCAACTTCACAAATAATACACGATGGTCTTGAAGTATAGATTTTGCGTACTGACGTTGTTTATCATCTTACTATCGTGTTATAGTATTCTTTTATTTATCTTTATTAATATTACTTTTACTGTTAAGTCTATTTTTTTGAGATATCCATTTGACGAGACTCTGTGCTTATGTATCCCGTCATACTTTGAACGACAAAATTATTTTAATTATTAATATTACTTTTACTTTTGAGTCTGTTTTTTGTGATATACATTTGACGTGAATCTGTACTTATGTATATCGTCATACATTGTACCACACAATTATTTTATTTTATTTATAAATATTACTTTTACTGTTAAGTCTGTTTTTTGTTATATCCATTTTACGTGACTCTGTATTTATGTATCCCCTCATACTTTGAACGATAAAATCATTTTATGTCTACCTGTGCGAATTTCAAACGCGCGATTTTACGCCAGTACTTAAAACCTTCCATCCTTTATGGGTGGATCTTACATAGATAAATAAAATCGTATAATATAAGCAAAACGAGGATTTTGAATTTGATGTATGCCTTTTTGTGCTTCTTCGTTACATTTGTTTGTTTTTATAGTGATTTAGATGATAACACAATGTTGACTGCTGTACCCCTTTTTTGACATTTTTACCTATTGTGTCTGTTTGTTTTGTTCACGCATCGTTGTCAATATAATGGAATTTGATGCGACTGTCATACAAATGAGAGGTTTAGCTAGCTATAAAACCAGGTTCAATCCACCAGTTACCACATAAGAAAATGTCTGTACCAAGTCAGGAATATAACAGTTGTTATACATTCGTTTGATGTGATTGTTTTTTTTATTTTGCCATTTGATTGGGGACTTTCCTTTTTGAATTTTCCTCGGAGTTCAGTATTTTGTGATTTTACTTTTTATTACTTCCTATAACAAAATAAATTATACTAAGGTAGAACGCATGGAATGATTAATCTTATTATTCCAAAAATCATTAACTTTCATTTTTAAACTTTAGAAAGCCTGATCATAAACGATAAAACAGCTCATATAAATGCATAATCAAATATGATATCAATTAGAAAATCAGTAATAAAATCTATAATAATGTAAATTTTCTTGCAGAAAGTGTCGATTTCTCTGTGATATGGACCTGGCATTACACACAAAAGAAACACTCATGGGATGTTGTTTCCATAGCAGATACTATTAATAGTAAAATACAGCATCTACGCGACTGGTTCCATGTAGAGTATGCAAAAATAGATATATCTGGGAGGCTAGCTCTTCAAACAACTACAGCTAGTCATACATTTAGCTCACTTTCATCACTTGAAATGGCAGTGAAATCCTTTCTAGAAAAATTCATTGAAGTGTGTGACTTTGAAAAATACATTGAAGAAGAGCAAATGATTAAACTCGATGTGACATGCCAGTTAAATGAGGATAATGGTACGTAATTACTACAATTAAAAAATGTACAGAAATAATGAATTTACTTTAGCTTACAGACGAAATATGCAACTTAAAGGACAATAGAAATCTTTAGAAGTATTCGAAAAAAAACAATTGCAGGATAATTCATATTATATATAGTAGCTTAGTTTTCGTAAACAATGTATTGATTTACTTTTATGAATGTGTTAAAGTCGATTTTAGTTATACTTAGTACTATACCTTGAACTATTACGTCTCCTTTCCCAGTAGATTTTATCGATTTACCATAATGCATTTTCATTTGATCGCTCTTTTTAAAATTGGTAGACGATAATCCCGAAATTAGGAGAGAAGAAATGGAAAAGCCAGTTGATACAATACTTACATGTGACGACTGTAAAAAAGATTTGATATGCCTTGTGTGCAAAACCAGTAAGAGCTTGATATCAAGATTGAATGATAAACTGCAAGAGCAAAGGAACACTATCATGAGTGAGTTTATGTGTATACAGTAATGTAAAAAGTACAGTAACCCATGCGTCAAAACGGAAATTCAATTTGGTTTTTATTAATTAGAATAATTTCAATAATATTGAAATAATTTCTCATCAAATACATCTAAGTAAAAAGTTTAATATAATATTGTGCCTTAAATATGTTTAATTGTGCTAATAGCTTCATACCTTGAGCGTACAAAGTAAGTAATGTATGCGCTCTCATCAATGAATTTCAATTCATTTAGCCTAGTACACTAGTTACACATCAAAAACAAATGGTGTCTAGGTTTAAATCTTTCTATGGTATTATACTATTTATGCACACATTTCAAATTATCAGATGTAAACATCAACATAACGGCATTTCCCTTTAAAAATATAGTACTCAGTTTAGTTGTTATTATTCAGAATGTTGATAAGCTGTATTGCGTATTATTTACAGGCTGGTAGGTATTTTAATCGTATACTTAACAGAGTACTCCTATTTTGAAAATGTTCATTCCATGAAGGCATGTTGTGCCATGATCTGATATTATTGAAAAACAATGTATTGTATTATTGACATTTTTTACCCTTTTAAAGGCTTTCAATTGAGCCTGTTTTTATCAAAGAATGCGATAGTAATGAGCGATATACATTGGATGGAACTAATGTAGTGCATGTTTGCATTTAGATGTTGTTACGTTTACAATTTCATATTACTATTTTTTCATTTACATGAAGGATTACAAAGACGCATGTCGACATTTGGAGAATGGAATGAAGGTAAATTTCTTAATTTATTTTAAAGTAATTTGAAGGCATCATATGATAATCGTTTGTTGTCAGTTGTTTCTAAAGAATTTGTTCTGTAACTCGATTCTTCAAATGATAAATCATCAAATAAATCGAAGTAAAACGTTTAATATCATACTGTTGTCCCCAAAATATGTGTATATATGAAACTGTTTCATTCATTTCATGTTTAAAATTGAGAATGGAAATGGGGAATGTGTCAAAGAGACAACAACCCGACCTTAGAGCAGACAACAGCCGAAAGCCACCAATGGGTCTTCAATGTAGCGAGAAACTCCCGCACCCGAAGGCGTCCTTCAGCTGGCCCCTAAACAAATATGTATACTAGTTCAGTGATAATGGACGTCATATTAAACTCCAAATTATACACAGGAAACTAAAATTAAAAATGATACAAGACTAACAAAAGCCAGAGGCTCCTGACTTGGGACAGGCGCAAAAATGCGGCGGGGTTAAACATGTTTTTTGAGATTTCAACCATCCCCCTATACCTCTAGCCAATGTAGAAAAAACAAACGCACAACCGTACGTACAGTAAAACTCAGTATAAGAGAAGTCCGAGTCCGATGTCAGAATAGGAAACAAAAGAAAGTAAACAAAATGACAATATTACATAAATAACAACAGACTACTAGCAGTTACTAACATGCCAGCTCCAGACCTCAATTAAACTGATTAAAAGATTATGTCTTCATCATATGAATATCAGGCACAATCCCTCCTGTTAGGGGTTTAGTATTATACCGTCATAAAATATATGATAAGAACATAACCCGTGTCATGCCAACAACTGGTTTTAGAATAAATGTGTTAATTCCGATGCAAAGACCCTATAAGTGAATTAATATTAAAGCCAAAATATGCAATCTTTAATGACCTGACAACAGTATCGTAACTATATCCCTTCTTAATAAGTCTGTTTAAAGGTTTAGTTAGCTTTTGAGGTGAATACTGACATGTTTGTGCTTTGTAAAGAATATTACCATAAAAGATTGGATGTGAAATACCCGAACGTATAAGATATCTGCATGTTGAGTTATATTTACGAATGATGTCCTTATACCGATGATAAAATTTAGTAAATGTTTTGACTAGTTTATGATATCGAAAACCCTGTTGTAATAATTTTCAGTAATACATAAATTTCTCTCGCTAAAATCTAATACGTTGTTACATACACGAGCGAATCGTACAAGTTGAGATATATAAACACCATAAGATGGTGACAAGGGAACGTCACCATCTAAAAATGGATAATTAACGATAGGAAATGAAAAATCATCTCTTTTATCATAAATTTTTGTATTAAGCTTCCCGTTAATGATATAGATATCAAGATCGAGGAAAGGACAGTGGTCATTGTTGGTATTAGCTTTATTTAAAGTAAGTTCAACAGGATAAATTTCTTTAGTATACACACTGAAGTCGTCATTATTGAGAGCCAATATATCATCCAAATATCTAAAAGTATTGTTAAATTTTTGTATCAGATGTTGTTTCGATGGGTCTTTGCTGATTTTAGTCATTAATTGTAACTCATAACAATACAAAAACAGGTCCGCAATAAGTGGTGCACAGTTAGTCCCTATTGGAATTCCGATAACTTGACGATATACGGAATCTCCAAAGCGAACAAAAATGTTATCAAGTAAAAATTCAAGGGCAGATATAGTATCAAAGCATGTCCAATTGCCTTTATTCTCAAATCTTAAGCTTATAAGAAAATCTTTGTATGCAATATTAAATACACTCGGCAATGTGCTTTAATTAATTAAGTCGCGTCCAATTTTTGTTCAGTAATAAATTTATATTTTAAAATATATTATCTGAAAAAAATGAGTTATATAATGTATAATTTCAGGTTTTGCTGATGATGTCTTTTCATCGGACGACGAAACAGAGGATTTGGATTTTGGTAAATATGCTGCAAGAAATCTTTGCCTATTCATTATTCAACAAACATTTTTTTCATTATAAAAAAAAAGTATATAAAGTGTTTTTAAATCACAGTAAACTTTGACAAAATGAATAAAAATCACAAAAGAGATAATTAACAGTGCCAAGGTCACTAATAATAAACTAAAGATTGAATTGCTAAAATCAAATTAAAACAACAGAGGATTACCTGAAATTGTTAATTAAGAGAATGTGAACTTGTTTAGATTCATTCAGCCTTCGTGGTACCGGTGGTAGTTCAAAACATGTACATACGAAACAATCTGAAAAAGAGTATAAACGAAATAAATGATGATAAAATCTGGATTTTACAATTACAAATTATGTTTAAACAGATATTCTATAATGGTCATAACAATCTCGAAGGCGTCCATAAAGACTGCAAGTATGTAGTTGATGCTTTAAATCAAAGATATTCCTGCGAAAAACGTGTATTTCAATAGCAAAACTGTGTCAGTGAAGTCTTAATATGTAGCATTCAATTTGGTACAGCTGGAAGATTTATACTCAATTGTAAGGTTGCGTTTGCTTTTTGTTACCAAATCCTGAAATTTCATTAAAAGACAACCATAATTGGAAGCCATTTCGTTTTTCGTAATGATTTTTTTCGAAACCTTTATGGTTAATATTTTATTACTGATGTCCCGTAGGTGTCTGTTTAGATCTTGTAGTCATACGGTTTAATTTTGTAGTCCATTTTTTTTTAAACAATCTGCAATCAATTCCATCACCATGCCTAATATATCATGTACTGTGTTACAACTCTAGATTCTACTGACGTGAAAATGTAACACTAGACCACCGAAAGTTGAATTATTAGTTCAGTGTAGGTGGCCGAGTTATCTAGAGCGATGGACACAGTGCAGGTGGTGTTGTCTCGATATCCCAATAGGATGAGTTCGAATCCTGGCAAGGGAAGAACAAAAATTTGCTTCCGAAAATTTGCAGATTCAATATTGTTGTGCTGATATTTAGAGTAGTTATATAAGAATTTAGACTTGTTTATATTTGTTCGTTTGGGCTTGTATTATATTTGCTTTCGGATGTATATAATCCATTCATCTATATTCAAGAGTCTATCCTAAATTGAGGTAAATTATGTTGCCTTCATAATACCGTTTCGATTCCTAACATCACTGAAGAGACATTAATTGTCGAAATCCGGATATGATGTATCAAGTTTTGCAACTCATGTGTGCGGGCTTGTATTATATTTGCCTTCGGGTTTATGTAATCCGTTCATCCTATTTCAACTCTTCAAAATTCAAGAGTCTATCTTAAATTGAGGTAAATTTATATGGTCTTCCAAATACCGTTTCGATTCCTAACATCACTCAAGAGAAATTAATTGTTGAAATCCGGATATGGTGTACAAATTTTTGCACATTATGTTTCCGGTATACCATCTTTATCTGGTGATCCGTTTTTTTTTGGCAATCGCCATGGCAGTCAGCAGGCTTTAAGGTTGCATTTTATAAATACAGCTGTTTCTTAAACCACGCCTCTTTTAAGGAATGTATAATATTCATAGATACATTATGTTGTATACGTACTTATTCCCAGATATGATCTCTATGTTTCATCTCATAGAGACATAACTTGGGAATGTTACCAGTATAAATAAAAAAAATATAGCGGCAGCCTTGAATTCTGAAAGAGACCAAAAGTAAAGGTAGGGGTAGTTCAGAATTTAAGTACAAGTTTAAACTCTAATAAGTTCGGGGCATATAAATGTTGAAAATATGCCGCACAGCCCTATAATTTGACCTTTGAAAAAAAAAATCGAAACTTCATAGTAAAAGTTGTACAGGTTCAGCCGTAAAAGGAGTTTCATGGGAAATTGCATTGTCAATATTTACAGAAATGAAACCTATATTGGATGAAAAAAGGGAACTTACAGAATTTCGCAAAATCTGGTTATCTCAGAGATTTTAATGAAATCAACTCACATATGAAGTTTTATAAATATTTCATGAAGATTGGGAAAATCCTGGGCCTTAACTATGATGACTCAGCATAAATTCACAGTTTAGGGTATGCATAGTTTACTTAAATAGATATAAGAAGATGTGGTATGAGTTTCAATGAGACAACTCTCCATCCAAGTCACAATTTGTAAAAGTAAACCATTATAGGTCAAAGTACGGTCTTCAACACGGAGCCTTGGCTCACACCGAACAGCAAGCTATAAAGGGCCCAAAAAAAGACTAGTGTAAACCATTCAAACGGGAAAACCAACGGTCTTATCTATTGAAAAACGAGAAACGAGAAACACTTATGAACCACATCAACAAACGACAACTAATGAACATCAGATTCCTGACTTAGGACAGGTACAAACAAATGCAGCGGGTTTAAACGTTTTAATAGGTACCAACCTTCACCCTTATCTGAAAAAATGTCGTAACATCACAACAAAGAAAGACACACTATAAAATATCAATTGAATTGGCTTAACTCAATCAAAAGACATATTACCACAAGTGAACATACACTGAACTAATAAATTTGATATATGATAAAATGTAAATACAAAATCAAAAAAATAAGGGGTGAATCAATAAAGGCAACAGTAGTTTACCGCTGTGAGATGTTAAACAATTTAAAAAAAAACAACAATAACCTCGAACAAAAAGCCGCCATATACAATAATATACACAGGTAAATAATTTTGTGGTTAGGTATAGAGTTCAAATGGAGAATGAAAATATTTTTTACAAAATAAATAATTTTGTTGTTTTTAGTACGAAGAAGTGAAAAATTATAGTTATACCAATCGCCAATGGCAGTCAGCAGGGTTTAAGAACAATCGTTGTTCGACCTGTTAGTCAAATGCGTTTTGTTGAAATATACTTTTTCACTTTTTTGGTCTTTTGGAAAATGGTGTTTGTGCTGTATTTAGACCCTTCTACCAACAAATTTGTTTTGCATGCACACGTATAAAACTTGCGACATTAGTTGTCGAAATCCGGATATGGTGTACAAATTTTTGCACCTCATGTTTGAGGTATACCATTTTCAGCAAGTTTATTGTTTTCTGTTTGGTATTAAATTAATATTAAAGATCCATTTGTTACATCTTGTGATTCGTTTATTTGGCAATCGCCAATGGCAGTCAGCAGGGTTTAAGAACATCCGTTGTTCGACCTGAAGGCAAATGCGTTTTGTTTAAATATACCTTTTCACTTTTTTTGGTCTTTTGGAAAATGTTGTTTGTGCTGTATTTAGACCCCTCTACCAAGAAATTTGTTTCGTATGCACACGTATAAAAATTGCGGTTTTTATCCAACGCAATCATAGGTTTGAACTTTGTTTTTAATTTAGACTTATTTATATTTTTTCGTTTGGGCTTGTATTATATTTGCCTTCGGGTTTATATGATCCGTTCATCCTATTTCGACTCTTCAAAATTCAAGAGTCTATCCTAAATTGAGGTAAACTATATGGCCTTCCAAATACCGTTTCGATTTCTAACATCACTGAAGAGATATTAATTGTCGAAATCCGGATATGGTGTACAAATTTTTGCACCTCATGTTTGAGGTATACCATTTTCAGCAAGTTTATTGTTTTCTGTTTGGTATTAAATTAATATTAAAGATCCATTTGTTACATCTTGTGATGCGTTTATTTGGCAATCGCCAATGGCAGTCAGCAGGGTTTAAGAACATCCGTTGTTCGACCTGTTTGTCAAATGCGCTTTGTTTAGATATACATTTGAACTTTTTTGGTCTTTTGGAAAATGTTGTTTGTGCTGTATTTAGACACCTCTACCAAGAAATTTGTTTTGCATGCACACGTATAAAAATTGCGGTTTTTATCCAACGCAATCATAGGTTTGAACGTTGTTTTCAATTTAGACTTATTTATATGTTTTCGTTTGGGCTTGTATTATATTTGCCTTCGGGTTTATATGATCCGTTCATCCTATTTCGACTCTTCAAAATTCAAGAGTCTATCCTAAATTGAGGTAAATTATATGGCCTTCCAAATACCGTTTCGATTTCTAACATCACTGAAGAGACATTAATTGTCGAAATCCGGATATGGTGTACAAATTTTTGCACCTCATGTTTGCGGTATACCATTTTCAGCAAGTTTATTGTTTTCTGTTTGGTATTAAATTAATATTAAAGATCCATTTGTTACATCTTGTGATGCGTTTATTTGGCAATCGCCAATGGCAGTCAGCAGGGTTTAAGAACATCCGTTGTTCGACCAGTTAGTCAAATGCGTTTTGTTTAAATATACCTTTTCACTTTTTTTGGTCTTTTGGAAAATGTTGTTTGTGCTGTATTTAGACACCTCTACCAAGAAATTTGTTTTACATGCACACCTATAAAAATTGCAGTTTTTATCCAACGCAATCATAGGTTTGAACGTTGTTTTTAATTTAGATTTATTTATATTTTTCGTTTGGGCTTGTATTATATTTGCCTTCGGGTTTATATGATCCGTTCATCCTATTTCGACTCTTCAAAATTCAAGAGTCTATCCTAAATTGAGGTAAACTATATGGCCTTCCAAATACCGTTTCGATTTCTAACATCACTGAAGAGACATTAATTGTCGAAATCCGGGTATGGTGTATAAATTTTTGCACCCCATGCTCGCGGTATACCATCTTTTCCGCAAGTTTATTGTTTTCTGTTTGGTATTAAATTAATATTAAAGATCCATTTTGTAACATCTTGTGGCCCGTTTATTTGGCAATCGCCAATGGCAGTCAGCAGGGTTTAAGCACATCCGTCACCAAAAAAAATAAAATCATGAACAAAATGTTACCTTATATCTTTCATCAGTAAGATGTCAAATAAATCTTATCTTGACATGTGGTAGTCAAACTGATATAGTTATCTTGACGGTTTACAAATTATCACGAATCAATACGCTGGTAATTTTTTCAATATTGATGTTTGGGAGGAGGAATAAATTCTTGAAAGTGAGAAGAATCCTCTGAGTTATTTTGTTGGGTCAAACCAGTCACATTTTGCATGGAAATAATAAGGGAAATTAATCTTTTCCTGAGTATGTTGTAACAGATTATGATATATAAAATCATTTCAAATGTCTAATAAGAGCTAGTTAGGCCCTACTAGTGGTGTCATGCTGGTCATATGTATAATAGCCAAAAATTCAAAATATGTAACCTCTGCAAAATTACCGGCAAAAAATATCCAAAATGAATCCATAAAAAAAAGTTCCACATTTTCTATGTATATACATACGTTGTGCCAATTTGATAAGCGCCTAGGTTGGGAGTTTATTACTCAAAACGGGTACCCTCTTCTCCCGCTCGCCTGCAAGTCCAACCGCCCGCCAACGATATTTCATAATATGGTATGATAAGTCGGTTATGTATTGTGTACAACCCGTCCAAAAGTTCTGACACATCTTTAATTTAAATGTTCGTCACTATTGATTTCGAAACCGCAAATATTAAAAAAAAAAGTTGCTTAAATTTTTAAGGGTTGGCTAGAGATTTTTTTTTTCTCTTATCCATTACTACCTTTTCTCTGCTGTCCTTTCTGCTAAACGCTTGTCTCCTGTCAGTGTTCCAAAATATAAAAAAGAAGAAATATTATGGGGTATATCATTTTTATTCTTCACGGAATAATTATTATTGAATATTTGTTACATAAGGAATATTTATAATGAAATTATCTATGATGTTTTCAAAGGACGTTTGTTATCAGAAACACTTATACGTGAACGTCATTACTATGCAGTTTAAACACAAGATTCAGTTGACACACAAGTAATTTAAATTTTTAAATCACTTTTATGTTTTGATACGATACCCGCATTTAAAGTCTAATTTGTCAACCTCAACGTGGAGTATATACCTTTTTGTAACATGTCTATTAGAAGTGGGATGTCGCATGTTTAAATTCGGATTATAATTTTATTTGTCGTTGTCAATCTTCAAACTCTAGTTAAAATTTTTTCGTAGAAAAGGTCTTGCGCATAAGCACCTGCATCCTGTGAAAACAACTGTCAGCTATGTATTTGAACAGCACACGGTACGCCAAAGCTACTAACAATATATTATATACCAGCAGTAGTCATTTTATGGAAAGAAAATAACAGTATTGAGAAATGCTAATCCTTTGTACAATGTCATAATTACTACAACAACAACAACAACAACAACAGCAACTTCATGTGCAAGAGGATAGATAAATAATACATAATATATACTTTTGTGACAAATTGTAATTTGAGAAAAATTCAATATATGTTTTACAGAGCGGATATCAGTTCATCTAGAAAAAAATAAATTCAACTTGCAAATTAAAGGCCTTCCACACAGTTTATCAAACTCAATGGATAAAGAACACAACATGAATATTGAAGGTAAATAATTAACATTATATCAGTATACTTCTCAGTACATTAATTTCTGAAACATTAACAACGTCAGATAAGGCATTCAATGTATGTTTCGGAAATAATCTTCAAAGGATATTCTTGAAAACTGTTATTCATAAATAATTCACTGCTGCAATATTGCATACAATTTCTTTTTAACTGTATTTACGTTTGCAGCTCCTACACTTTTAGAATGTGGTTTTGGGAGCATGTTTTTTAAAATCTGTCGCATTTTTGGTGAAATTACTCCAAATGATGATTCGCATGGCTAGTGGTGCAAGTTCAGCATAAGATGTTTATTTTCTCGACGATTTTTTACCGTTATTCGATTCCCCGAATTTTTGTTTGTTACCTCAATTTGTAGCTTTTTCCCTTGACTTGATATGAGAGTTGAACAAGTTGTAACTACTGTTGTTAATGTATATACTGTTACGGTTTAGAGGGTTAGCTGTAAGATTGTACTTTTTCGGGCTACTCAGTAAACACTCTATTCTACTTTCGCGTTTGTCGTTTACTGCTAGCCAACGTGTATATAAGACATTTGATGACACTACATATACTTTTGTTGTTATTGTATGTAAATATTGTTAGTACTGTCACTGGGAATAATAATATAGAGTTCGTCTTCATTGTTTGACCAGGAGGGGGTCCATTGACTGAACGAATATTCCCACTTTCTGTCTATACTTATTCTATACGTTCCCGCTTTTTTACCTTGCTATTTTATTTACGTAAGGCCTGACTATTGTAACCGGGGCCCATACATGCTAAGAGTAAGCTTAGATAAGTCCCGTTTGCCCATTTCCCGACTCGACAGAATGTCAACATTCACAATTGCCGCCATTTGCATCACTATGTTTATTGACGTCAGTGACCTAATGACCTGAGATCAGCTTCAAATCAACACAAAGTAATTTGCCCGACATCACCATAGGGGCACGAGACTTTGGTGGGACAGAAGTATAAAAACGAGTGCACAACAGTCTTCAAAGAGACTGCGGCCCGCTACCAGGGCATTCACTCCTGATACAAATGAAATTACCAAAGCAAACCAAATGCGCCGCAGTCGATGCAACCCGTGAAACACATGAACCTTTGCTATTGTATGCATCCCCGATGGATAAATGACCCAAACCATGATTGACCTAGATGTTGTACTACGTTTACTTCGATGTTGACAAACGATTAACATACCAAAAAGGAGAGTCTACGTATATTTTACAACCTAGGTGCTTTGGTTGGTTTCCATGTGATTTATACTTGTAATAGATTTAGATATTTTGTAAATGTATTAAATTGTAAGCTAAAATAAATCTTGTTATCTGTCGACATGTAATAAGTAAGTCGATGTTAATAAGTTTCTGAGATACCATTTTTAGACCAGTGCCTTAGCTGTTTTGCGTGCTACGCCACCATTGCCTTGACCATTTTGCCAGCTACGTTACCAGTATAACTTATTTTGTAACTCGACACCAGGGTTGACAGATAGTAGAATTGACCAATAACATAGTCTCCAGTGTGTTTACCCGTAATAGTTCGTTTACTTATGAGACACAACCCCCGTCCCGTAACAATACTACTAGGTTTAAAGCTTTTACAGGAAAAGTAGAAAGATTGTTGATCTACTTAAATATATTTGATATGCACATAATATAATAATATTCATGTAATTTATAATTACTTTTTTTCTGATACTCTATATGTTAATTATAAATATTCGTTATATGCTGACAGTGTTGACCTCGTGGAATTGTTTACGAAAGATTTGCAAGGTTTCACTTTATTCGCTAGCAAAGTATCGTTTTAAAATTGAAACGATTCATATGCAAATGTTTTATATTTATATGCAGATCATGTTGTACTCAATGTGTTTGCTATTTAAACGTGTATGCATTTTTCGTTCTTGTAAAGTAGTTACTGCGGCTGAATTAAACTTTCAAATAAACATCTTAACATCCAAACCATGCGATAACCATAGGATAAACGAGTATCTTTACTATCACTTAACTTTTACTCTGTCAAATTACAGATGGTGAAAAATACGTTTCGTTATGGTATTAATTGTTTTTTTCATTTCTTCAATATATATATAGCATTATTTCAGTATGCTCTTTTTGACCGGGCCCGCATTGGTAGTGCGACATCTTGCAAAGTCTAACCGAATTATTTTGCTAAGAATTCCACTTAAACCGGTGCTCGAGGACGTGTTAAATTTGCAGTGAGGTGAGGGTTTTTGTGCTTCGTGTTGAAGCTAGGCACCACTGTGATTTTGAGATGAAGAACAGCAAAGCATGCGCTGTTTCTTTGTTTTTTGTGTGTTTTTTTCTTTACAAGTGCTGATTTTATGTCATGGATGGATATCCTTTATTTTTCTATAATATTGACGGAGATTGTCCCTCTGTTGTGTCGAGGTTGTAGCAGGTGTCCCCGTGCTTGAGGTGTATGCTCCTGGATTTTTAAAGTTATGTTGCATTTATTCTTAGATAACTTCTTTTATATGTGCCACATCATTCTTTCAAAGGCCAGTTTGTTTACAATTTTAATAAGACGCACATCACCTAGTCTTGGCCCCATCACTATCAATGTAATTTTTTTCAATTTCAAGCATTTATTTGGGCGCTCTCAATGTACCGTTTTTCTCCTTATTAGACCACACTGGTTATCGGAACTTTGGAAATACCAAATTAGTTACTTCATATCTAAGAAACAGTTAATATATGCCCTCCATTTAAAATTTACTCATACCTTTTTGTATTATTCAAAATTATCAGTAAAAAGCAGTTCTAGAAGGATCAGTAGGCCTTCGCCTAGCATTGATATCTAAATTACCAGAATATATTCAAATATATAGTTTGATATTTACACATATCTTAAATATGTATTACTTTCCGGACTGTTCCTGTTCACAGGGCCCGATTTGGTGATGTTTCAATGTCTACCCAAATTATTTTGCAGAGAATTAATTCAGCTCCAATCGGTGCTAGGGGCCGTTTAAAACTTGCAGGGAGGTGATAATTTTTTTTTAGCTCCATGTTTAAGGCTTAACTGTCACTTTGATATAAAAAAACAGCTGTTTCTTTGCTTTGTGTGTGATTTTTTGTGTCATGGATGGATATCCCATGTCTTCCGTTTTTCTATTATAATAGGTATAATGTTTAGACTAACCATATCCGAACTTTTCTGACTTGGTTCCATTAATATATCCACCAGAACTAGAAATTAAAGAAACAACAGTCACGGCTTCCTCCGCCTCATTTTTAGACTTCTACCTCGAATTTGACATACACAGTCATCTCAGTACCAGAATCTATGACAAACGAGACGATTTTAATTTTGAAATTATCAATTTCCCCCACCTTAGTAGCAATATACCAACTTCACCTGCATATGGGATATACATTTCCCAACTTATTCGGTATTCAAGAGCTTGCAGCTCCTACTCAGACTTTGTAAAACGTCACCAGTGTCTGAGCAGAAAGTTGATGAACCAGGGGTATGTCAAAGAACGTCTCGTTCTTTTTCTAAAAAAGTTCATCGGAAGGTACCAAGAACTTGTTGATAAATATTCCGTATCAACTTCACAAATAATACACGATGGTCTTGAAGTATAGATTTTGCGTACTGACGTTGTTTATCATCTTACTATCGTGTTATAGTATTCTTTTATTTATCTTTATTAATATTACTTTTACTGTTAAGTCTATTTTTTTGAGATATCCATTTGACGAGACTCTGTGCTTATGTATCCCGTCATACTTTGAACGACAAAATTATTTTAATTATTAATATTACTTTTACTTTTGAGTCTGTTTTTTGTGATATACATTTGACGTGAATCTGTACTTATGTATATCGTCATACATTGTACCACACAATTATTTTATTTTATTTATAAATATTACTTTTACTGTTAAGTCTGTTTTTTGTTATATCCATTTTACGTGACTCTGTATTTATGTATCCCCTCATACTTTGAACGATAAAATCATTTTATGTCTACCTGTGCGAATTTCAAACGCGCGATTTTACGCCAGTACTTAAAACCTTCCATCCTTTATGGGTGGATCTTACATAGATAAATAAAATCGTATAATATAAGCAAAACGAGGATTTTGAATTTGATGTATGCCTTTTTGTGCTTCTTCGTTACATTTGTTTGTTTTTATAGTGATTTAGATGATAACACAATGTTGACTGCTGTACCCCTTTTTTGACATTTTTACCTATTGTGTCTGTTTGTTTTGTTCACGCATCGTTGTCAATATAATGGAATTTGATGCGACTGTCATACAAATGAGAGGTTTAGCTAGCTATAAAACCAGGTTCAATCCACCAGTTACCACATAAGAAAATGTCTGTACCAAGTCAGGAATATAACAGTTGTTATACATTCGTTTGATGTGATTGTTTTTTTGATTTTGCCATTTGATTGGGGACTTTCCTTTTTGAATTTTCCTCGGAGTTCAGTATTTTGTGATTTTACTTTTTATTACTTCCTATAACAAAATAAATTATACTAAGGTAGAACGCATGGAATGATTAATCTTATTATTCCAAAAATCATTAACTTTCATTTTTAAACTTTAGAAAGCCTGATCATAAACGATAAAACAGCTCATATAAATGCATAATCAAATATGATATCAATTAGAAAATCAGTAATAAAATCTATAATAATGTAAATTTTCTTGCAGAAAGTGTCGATTTCTCTGTGATATGGACCTGGCATTACACACAAAAGAAACACTCATGGGATGTTGTTTCCATAGCAGATACTATTAATAGTAAAATACAGCATCTACGCGACTGGTTCCATGTAGAGTATGCAAAAATAGATATATCTGGGAGGCTAGCTCTTCAAACAACTACAGCTAGTCATACATTTAGCTCACTTTCATCACTTGAAATGGCAGTGAAATCCTTTCTAGAAAAATTCATTGAAGTGTGTGACTTTGAAAAATACATTGAAGAAGAGCAAATGATTAAACTCGATGTGACATGCCAGTTAAATGAGGATAATGGTACGTAATTACTACAATTAAAAAATGTACAGAAATAATGAATTTACTTTAGCTTACAGACGAAATATGCAACTTAAAGGACAATAGAAATCTTTAGAAGTATTCGAAAAAAAACAATTGCAGGATAATTCATATTATATATAGTAGCTTAGTTTTCGTAAACAATGTATTGATTTACTTTTATGAATGTGTTAAAGTCGATTTTAGTTATACTTAGTACTATACCTTGAACTATTACGTCTCCTTTCCCAGTAGATTTTATCGATTTACCATAATGCATTTTCATTTGATCGCTCTTTTTAAAATTGGTAGACGATAATCCCGAAATTAGGAGAGAAGAAATGGAAAAGCCAGTTGATACAATACTTACATGTGACGACTGTAAAAAAGATTTGATATGCCTTGTGTGCAAAACCAGTAAGAGCTTGATATCAAGATTGAATGATAAACTGCAAGAGCAAAGGAACACTATCATGAGTGAGTTTATGTGTATACAGTAATGTAAAAAGTACAGTAACCCATGCGTCAAAACGGAAATTCAATTTGGTTTTTATTAATTAGAATAATTTCAATAATATTGAAATAATTTCTCATCAAATACATCTAAGTAAAAAGTTTAATATAATATTGTGCCTTAAATATGTTTAATTGTGCTAATAGCTTCATACCTTGAGCGTACAAAGTAAGTAATGTATGCGCTCTCATCAATGAATTTCAATTCATTTAGCCTAGTACACTAGTTACACATCAAAAACAAATGGTGTCTAGGTTTAAATCTTTCTATGGTATTATACTATTTATGCACACATTTCAAATTATCAGATGTAAACATCAACATAACGGCATTTCCCTTTAAAAATATAGTACTCAGTTTAGTTGTTATTATTCAGAATGTTGATAAGCTGTATTGCGTATTATTTACAGGCTGGTAGGTATTTTAATCGTATACTTAACAGAGTACTCCTATTTTGAAAATGTTCATTCCATGAAGGCATGTTGTGCCATGATCTGATATTATTGAAAAACAATGTATTGTATTATTGACATTTTTTACCCTTTTAAAGGCTTTCAATTGAGCCTGTTTTTATCAAAGAATGCGATAGTAATGAGCGATATACATTGGATGGAACTAATGTAGTGCATGTTTGCATTTAGATGTTGTTACGTTTACAATTTCATATTACTATTTTTTCATTTACATGAAGGATTACAAAGACGCATGTCGACATTTGGAGAATGGAATGAAGGTAAATTTCTTAATTTATTTTAAAGTAATTTGAAGGCATCATATGATAATCGTTTGTTGTCAGTTGTTTCTAAAGAATTTGTTCTGTAACTCGATTCTTCAAATGATAAATCATCAAATAAATCGAAGTAAAACGTTTAATATCATACTGTTGTCCCCAAAATATGTGTATATATGAAACTGTTTCATTCATTTCATGTTTAAAATTGAGAATGGAAATGGGGAATGTGTCAAAGAGACAACAACCCGACCTTAGAGCAGACAACAGCCGAAAGCCACCAATGGGTCTTCAATGTAGCGAGAAACTCCCGCACCCGAAGGCGTCCTTCAGCTGGTCCCTAAACAAATATGTATACTAGTTCAGTGATAATGGACGTCATATTAAACTCCAAATTATACATAGGAAACTAAAATTAAAAATGATACAAGACTAACAAAAGCCAGAGGCTCCTGACTTGGGACAGGCGCAAAAATGCGGCGGGGTTAAACATGTTTTTTGAGATTTCAACCATCCCCCTATACCTCTAGCCAATGTAGAAAAAACAAACGCACAACCGTACGTACAGTAAAACTCAGTATAAGAGAAGTCCGAGTCCGATGTCAGAATAGGAAACAAAAGAAAGTAAACAAAATGACAATATTACATAAATAACAACAGACTACTAGCAGTTACTAACATGCCAGCTCCAGACCTCAATTAAACTGATTAAAAGATTATGTCTTCATCATATGAATATCAGGCACAATCCCTCCTGTTAGGGGTTTAGTATTATACCGTCATAAAATATATGATAAGAACATAACCCGTGTCATGCCAACAACTGGTTTTAGAATAAATGTGTTAATTCCGATGCAAAGACCCTATAAGTGAATTAATATTAAAGCCAAAATATGCAATCTTTAATGACCTGACAACAGTATCGTAACTATATCCCTTCTTAATAAGTCTGTTTAAAGGTTTAGTTAGCTTTTGAGGTGAATACTGACATGTTTGTGCTTTGTAAAGAATATTACCATAAAAGATTGGATGTGAAATACCCGAACGTATAAGATATCTGCATGTTGAGTTATATTTACGAATGATGTCCTTATACCGATGATAAAATTTAGTAAATGTTTTGACTAGTTTATGATATCGAAAACCCTGTTGTAATAATTTTCAGTAATACATAAATTTCTCTCGCTAAAATCTAATACGTTGTTACATACACGAGCGAATCGTACAAGTTGAGATATATAAACACCATAAGATGGTGACAAGGGAACGTCACCATCTAAAAATGGATAATTAACGATAGGAAATGAAAAATCATCTCTTTTATCATAAATTTTTGTATTAAGCTTCCCGTTAATGATATAGATATCAAGATCGAGGAAAGGACAGTGGTCATTGTTGGTATTAGCTTTATTTAAAGTAAGTTCAACAGGATAAATTTCTTTAGTATACACACTGAAGTCGTCATTATTGAGAGCCAATATATCATCCAAATATCTAAAAGTATTGTTAAATTTTTGTATCAGATGTTGTTTCGATGGGTCTTTGCTGATTTTAGTCATTAATTGTAACTCATAACAATACAAAAACAGGTCCGCAATAAGTGGTGCACAGTTAGTCCCTATTGGAATTCCGATAACTTGACGATATACGGAATCTCCAAAGCGAACAAAAATGTTATCAAGTAAAAATTCAAGGGCAGATATAGTATCAAAGCATGTCCAATTGCCTTTATTCTCAAATCTTAAGCTTATAAGAAAATCTTTGTATGCAATATTAAATACACTCGGCAATGTGCTTTAATTAATTAAGTCGCGTCCAATTTTTGTTCAGTAATAAATTTATATTTTAAAATATATTATCTGAAAAAAATGAGTTATATAATGTATAATTTCAGGTTTTGCTGATGATGTCTTTTCATCGGACGACGAAACAGAGGATTTGGATTTTGGTAAATATGCTGCAAGAAATCTTTGCCTATTCATTATTCAACAAACATTTTTTTCATTATAAAAAAAAAGTATATAAAGTGTTTTTAAATCACAGTAAACTTTGACAAAATGAATAAAAATCACAAAAGAGATAATTAACAGTGCCAAGGTCACTAATAATAAACTAAAGATTGAATTGCTAAAATCAAATTAAAACAACAGAGGATTACCTGAAATTGTTAATTAAGAGAATGTGAACTTGTTTAGATTCATTCAGCCTTCGTGGTACCGGTGGTAGTTCAAAACATGTACATACGAAACAATCTGAAAAAGAGTATAAACGAAATAAATGATGATAAAATCTGGATTTTACAATTACAAATTATGTTTAAACAGATATTCTATAATGGTCATAACAATCTCGAAGGCGTCCATAAAGACTGCAAGTATGTAGTTGATGCTTTAAATCAAAGATATTCCTGCGAAAAACGTGTATTTCAATAGCAAAACTGTGTCAGTGAAGTCTTAATATGTAGCATTCAATTTGGTACAGCTGGAAGATTTATACTCAATTGTAAGGTTGCGTTTGCTTTTTGTTACCAAATCCTGAAATTTCATTAAAAGACAACCATAATTGGAAGCCATTTCGTTTTTCGTAATGATTTTTTTCGAAACCTTTATGGTTAATATTTTATTACTGATGTCCCGTAGGTGTCTGTTTAGATCTTGTAGTCATACGGTTTAATTTTGTAGTCCATTTTTTTTTAAACAATCTGCAATCAATTCCATCACCATGCCTAATATATCATGTACTGTGTTACAACTCTAGATTCTACTGACGTGAAAATGTAACACTAGACCACCGAAAGTTGAATTATTAGTTCAGTGTAGGTGGCCGAGTTATCTAGAGCGATGGACACAGTGCAGGTGGTGTTGTCTCGATATCCCAATAGGATGAGTTCGAATCCTGGCAAGGGAAGAACAAAAATTTGCTTCCGAAAATTTGCAGATTCAATATTGTTGTGCTGATATTTAGAGTAGTTATATAAGAATTTAGACTTGTTTATATTTGTTCGTTTGGGCTTGTATTATATTTGCTTTCGGATGTATATAATCCATTCATCTATATTCAAGAGTCTATCCTAAATTGAGGTAAATTATGTTGCCTTCATAATACCGTTTCGATTCCTAACATCACTGAAGAGACATTAATTGTCGAAATCCGGATATGATGTATCAAGTTTTGCAACTCATGTGTGCGGGCTTGTATTATATTTGCCTTCGGGTTTATGTAATCCGTTCATCCTATTTCAACTCTTCAAAATTCAAGAGTCTATCTTAAATTGAGGTAAATTTATATGGTCTTCCAAATACCGTTTCGATTCCTAACATCACTCAAGAGAAATTAATTGTTGAAATCCGGATATGGTGTACAAATTTTTGCACATTATGTTTCCGGTATACCATCTTTATCTGGTGATCCGTTTTTTTTTGGCAATCGCCATGGCAGTCAGCAGGCTTTAAGGTTGCATTTTATAAATACAGCTGTTTCTTAAACCACGCCTCTTTTAAGGAATGTATAATATTCATAGATACATTATGTTGTATACGTACTTATTCCCAGATATGATCTCTATGTTTCATCTCATAGAGACATAACTTGGGAATGTTACCAGTATAAATAAAAAAAATATAGCGGCAGCCTTGAATTCTGAAAGAGACCAAAAGTAAAGGTAGGGGTAGTTCAGAATTTAAGTACAAGTTTAAACTCTAATAAGTTCGGGGCATATAAATGTTGAAAATATGCCGCACAGCCCTATAATTTGACCTTTGAAAAAAAAAATCGAAACTTCATAGTAAAAGTTGTACAGGTTCAGCCGTAAAAGGAGTTTCATGGGAAATTGCATTGTCAATATTTACAGAAATGAAACCTATATTGGATGAAAAAAGGGAACTTACAGAATTTCGCAAAATCTGGTTATCTCAGAGATTTTAATGAAATCAACTCACATATGAAGTTTTATAAATATTTCATGAAGATTGGGAAAATCCTGGGCCTTAACTATGATGACTCAGCATAAATTCACAGTTTAGGGTATGCATAGTTTACTTAAATAGATATAAGAAGATGTGGTATGAGTTTCAATGAGACAACTCTCCATCCAAGTCACAATTTGTAAAAGTAAACCATTATAGGTCAAAGTACGGTCTTCAACACGGAGCCTTGGCTCACACCGAACAGCAAGCTATAAAGGGCCCAAAAAAAGACTAGTGTAAACCATTCAAACGGGAAAACCAACGGTCTTATCTATTGAAAAACGAGAAACGAGAAACACTTATGAACCACATCAACAAACGACAACTAATGAACATCAGATTCCTGACTTAGGACAGGTACAAACGAATGCAGCGGGTTTAAACGTTTTAATAGGTACCAACCTTCACCCTTATCTGAAAAAATGTCGTAACATCACAACAAAGAAAGACACACTATAAAATATCAATTGAATTGGCTTAACTCAATCAAAAGACATATTACCACAAGTGAACATACACTGAACTAATAAATTTGATATATGATAAAATGTAAATACAAAATCAAAAAAATAAGGGGTGAATCAATAAAGGCAACAGTAGTTTACCGCTGTGAGATGTTAAACAATTTAAAAAAAAACAACAATAACCTCGAACAAAAAGCCGCCATATACAATAATATACACAGGTAAATAATTTTGTGGTTAGGTATAGAGTTCAAATGGAGAATGAAAATATTTTTTACAAAATAAATAATTTTGTTGTTTTTAGTACGAAGAAGTGAAAAATTATAGTTATACCAATCGCCAATGGCAGTCAGCAGGGTTTAAGAACAATCGTTGTTCGACCTGTTAGTCAAATGCGTTTTGTTGAAATATACTTTTTCACTTTTTTGGTCTTTTGGAAAATGGTGTTTGTGCTGTATTTAGACCCTTCTACCAACAAATTTGTTTTGCATGCACACGTATAAAACTTGCGACATTAGTTGTCGAAATCCGGATATGGTGTACAAATTTTTGCACCTCATGTTTGAGGTATACCATTTTCAGCAAGTTTATTGTTTTCTGTTTGGTATTAAATTAATATTAAAGATCCATTTGTTACATCTTGTGATTCGTTTATTTGGCAATCGCCAATGGCAGTCAGCAGGGTTTAAGAACATCCGTTGTTCGACCTGAAGGCAAATGCGTTTTGTTTAAATATACCTTTTCACTTTTTTTGGTCTTTTGGAAAATGTTGTTTGTGCTGTATTTAGACCCCTCTACCAAGAAATTTGTTTCGTATGCACACGTATAAAAATTGCGGTTTTTATCCAACGCAATCATAGGTTTGAACTTTGTTTTTAATTTAGACTTATTTATATTTTTTCGTTTGGGCTTGTATTATATTTGCCTTCGGGTTTATATGATCCGTTCATCCTATTTCGACTCTTCAAAATTCAAGAGTCTATCCTAAATTGAGGTAAACTATATGGCCTTCCAAATACCGTTTCGATTTCTAACATCACTGAAGAGATATTAATTGTCGAAATCCGGATATGGTGTACAAATTTTTGCACCTCATGTTTGAGGTATACCATTTTCAGCAAGTTTATTGTTTTCTGTTTGGTATTAAATTAATATTAAAGATCCATTTGTTACATCTTGTGATGCGTTTATTTGGCAATCGCCAATGGCAGTCAGCAGGGTTTAAGAACATCCGTTGTTCGACCTGTTTGTCAAATGCGTTTTGTTAAGATATACATTTTCACTTTTTTGGTCTTTTGGAAAATGTTGTTTGTGCTGTATTTAGACCCCTCTACCAAGAAATTTGTTTTGCATGCACACGTATAAAAATTGCGGTTTTTATCCAACGCAATCATAGGTTTGAACGTTGTTTTCAATTTAGACTTATTTATATGTTTTCGTTTGGGCTTGTATTATATTTGCCTTCGGGTTTATATGATCCGTTCATCCTATTTCGACTCTTCAAAATTCAAGAGTCTATCCTAAATTGAGGTAAATTATATGGCCTTCCAAATACCGTTTCGATTTCTAACATCACTGAAGAGACATTAATTGTCGAAATCCGGATATGGTGTACAAATTTTTGCACCTCATGTTTGCGGTATACCATTTTCAGCAAGTTTATTGTTTTCTGTTTGGTATTAAATTAATATTAAAGATCCATTTGTTACATCTTGTGATGCGTTTATTTGGCAATCGCCAATGGCAGTCAGCAGGGTTTAAGAACATCCGTTGTTCGACCAGTTAGTCAAATGCGTTTTGTTTAAATATACCTTTTCACTTTTTTTGGTCTTTTGGAAAATGTTGTTTGTGCTGTATTTAGACCCCTCTACCAAGAAATTTGTTTTACATGCACACCTATAAAAATTGCAGTTTTTATCCAACGCAATCATAGGTTTGAACGTTGTTTTTAATTTAGATTTATTTATATTTTTCGTTTGGGCTTGTATTATATTTGCCTTCGGGTTTATATGATCCGTTCATCCTATTTCGACTCTTCAAAATTCAAGAGTCTATCCTAAATTGAGGTAAACTATATGGCCTTCCAAATACCGTTTCGATTTCTAACATCACTGAAGAGACATTAATTGTCGAAATCCGGGTATGGTGTATAAATTTTTGCACCCCATGCTCGCGGTATACCATCTTTTCCGCAAGTTTATTGTTTTCTGTTTGGTATTAAATTAATATTAAAGATCCATTTTGTAACATCTTGTGGCCCGTTTATTTGGCAATCGCCAATGGCAGTCAGCAGGGTTTAAGCACATCCGTCACCAAAAAAAATAAAATCATGAACAAAATGTTACCTTATATCTTTCATCAGTAAGATGTCAAATAAATCTTATCTTGACATGTGGTAGTCAAACTGATATAGTTATCTTGACGGTTTACAAATTATCACGAATCAATACGCTGGTAATTTTTTCAATATTGATGTTTGGGAGGAGGAATAAATTCTTGAAAGTGAGATGAATCCTCTGAGTTTTTTTGTTGGGTCAAACCAGTCACATTTTGCATGGAAATAATAAGGGAAATTAATCTTTTCCTGAGTATGTTGTAACAGATTATGATATATAAAATCATTTCAAATGTCTAATAAGAGCTAGTTAGGCCCTACTAGTGGTGTCATGCTGGTCATATGTATAATAGCCAAAAATTCAAAATATGTAACCTCTGCAAAATTACCGGCAAAAAATATCCAAAATGAATCCATAAAAAAAAGTTCCACATTTTCTATGTATATACATACGTTGTGCCAATTTGATAAGCGCCTAGGTTGGGAGTTTATTACTCAAAACGGGTACCCTCTTCTCCCGCTCGCCTGCAAGTCCAACCGCCCGCCAACGATATTTCATAATATGGTATGATAAGTCGGTTATGTATTGTGTACAACCCGTCCAAAAGTTCTGACACATCTTTAATTTAAATGTTCGTCACTATTGATTTCGAAACCGCAAATATTAAAAAAAAAAGTTGCTTAAATTTTTAAGGGTTGGCTAGAGATTTTTTTTTTCTCTTATCCATTACTACCTTTTCTCTGTTGTCCTTTCTGCTAAACGCTTGTCTCCTGTCAGTGTTCCAAAATATAAAAAAGAAGAAATATTATGGGGTATATCATTTTTATTCTTCACGGAATAATTATTATTGAATATTTGTTACATAAGGAATATTTATAATGAAATTATCTATGATGTTTTCAAAGGACGTTTGTTATCAGAAACACTTATACGTGAACGTCATTACTATGCAGTTTAAACACAAGATTCAGTTGACACACAAGTAATTTAAATTTTTAAATCACTTTTATGTTTTGATACGATACCCGCATTTAAAGTCTAATTTGTCAACCTCAACGTGGAGTATATACCTTTTTGTAACATGTCTATTAGAAGTGGGATGTCGCATGTTTAAATTCGGATTATAATTTTATTTGTCGTTGTCAATCTTCAAACTCTAGTTAAAATTTTTTCGTAGAAAAGGTCTTGCGCATAAGCACCTGCATCCTGTGAAAACAACTGTCAGCTATGTATTTGAACAGCACACGGTACGCCAAAGCTACTAACAATATATTATATACCAGCAGTAGTCATTTTATGGAAAGAAAATAACAGTATTGAGAAATGCTAATCCTTTGTACAATGTCATAATTACTACAACAACAACAACAACAACAACAGCAACTTCATGTGCAAGAGGATAGATAAATAATACATAATATATACTTTTGTGACAAATTGTAATTTGAGAAAAATTCAATATATGTTTTACAGAGCGGATATCAGTTCATCTAGAAAAAAATAAATTCAACTTGCAAATTAAAGGCCTTCCACACAGTTTATCAAACTCAATGGATAAAGAACACAACATGAATATTGAAGGTAAATAATTAACATTATATCAGTATACTTCTCAGTACATTAATTTCTGAAACATTAACAACGTCAGATAAGGCATTCAATGTATGTTTCGGAAATAATCTTCAAAGGATATTCTTGAAAACTGTTATTCATAAATAATTCACTGCTGCAATATTGCATACAATTTCTTTTTAACTGTATTTACGTTTGCAGCTCCTACACTTTTAGAATGTGGTTTTGGGAGCATGTTTTTTAAAATCTGTCGCATTTTTGGTGAAATTACTCCAAATGATGATTCGCATGGCTAGTGGTGCAAGTTCAGCATAAGATGTTTATTTTCTCGACGATTTTTTACCGTTATTCGATTCCCCGAATTTTTGTTTGTTACCTCAATTTGTAGCTTTTTCCCTTGACTTGATATGAGAGTTGAACAAGTTGTAACTACTGTTGTTAATGTATATACTGTTACGGTTTAGAGGGTTAGCTGTAAGATTGTACTTTTTCGGGCTACTCAGTAAACACTCTATTCTACTTTCGCGTTTGTCGTTTACTGCTAGCCAACGTGTATATAAGACATTTGATGACACTACATATACTTTTGTTGTTATTGTATGTAAATATTGTTAGTACTGTCACTGGGAATAATAATATAGAGTTCGTCTTCATTGTTTGACCAGGAGGGGGTCCATTGACTGAACGAATATTCCCACTTTCTGTCTATACTTATTCTATACGTTCCCGCTTTTTTACCTTGCTATTTTATTTACGTAAGGCCTGACTATTGTAACCGGGGCCCATACATGCTAAGAGTAAGCTTAGATAAGTCCCGTTTGCCCATTTCCCGACTCGACAGAATGTCAACATTCACAATTGCCGCCATTTGCATCACTATGTTTATTGACGTCAGTGACCTAATGACCTGAGATCAGCTTCAAATCAACACAAAGTAATTTGCCCGACATCACCATAGGGGCACGAGACTTTGGTGGGACAGAAGTATAAAAACGAGTGCACAACAGTCTTCAAAGAGACTGCGGCCCGCTACCAGGGCATTCACTCCTGATACAAATGAAATTACCAAAGCAAACCAAATGCGCCGCAGTCGATGCAACCCGTGAAACACATGAACCTTTGCTATTGTATGCATCCCCGATGGATAAATGACCCAAACCATGATTGACCTAGATGTTGTACTACGTTTACTTCGATGTTGACAAACGATTAACATACCAAAAAGGAGAGTCTACGTATATTTTACAACCTAGGTGCTTTGGTTGGTTTCCATGTGATTTATACTTGTAATAGATTTAGATATTTTGTAAATGTATTAAATTGTAAGCTAAAATAAATCTTGTTATCTGTCGACATGTAATAAGTAAGTCGATGTTAATAAGTTTCTGAGATACCATTTTTAGACCAGTGCCTTAGCTGTTTTGCGTGCTACGCCACCATTGCCTTGACCATTTTGCCAGCTACGTTACCAGTATAACTTATTTTGTAACTCGACACCAGGGTTGACAGATAGTAGAATTGACCAATAACATAGTCTCCAGTGTGTTTACCCGTAATAGTTCGTTTACTTATGAGACACAACCCCCGTCCCGTAACAATACTACTAGGTTTAAAGCTTTTACAGGAAAAGTAGAAAGATTGTTGATCTACTTAAATATATTTGATATGCACATAATATAATAATATTCATGTAATTTAGAATTACTTTTTTTCTGATACTCTATATGTTAATTATAAATATTCGTTATATGCTGACAGTGTTGACCTCGTGGAATTGTTTACGAAAGATTTGCAAGGTTTCACTTTATTCGCTAGCAAAGTATCGTTTTAAAATTGAAACGATTCATATGCAAATGTTTTATATTTATATGCAGATCATGTTGTACTCAATGTGTTTGCTATTTAAACGTGTATGCATTTTTCGTTCTTGTTAAGTAGTTACTGCGGCTGAATTAAACTTTCAAATAAACATCTTAACATCCAAACCATGCGATAACCATAGGATAAACGAGTATCTTTACTATCACTTAACTTTTACTCTGTCAAATTACAGATGGTGAAAAATACGTTTCGTTATGGTATTAATTGTTTTTTTCATTTCTTCAATATATATATAGCATTATTTCAGTATGCTCTTTTTGACCGGGCCCGCATTGGTAGTGCGACATCTTGCAAAGTCTAACCGAATTATTTTGCTAAGAATTCCACTTAAACCGGTGCTCGAGGACGTGTTAAATTTGCAGTGAGGTGAGGGTTTTTGTGCTTCGTGTTGAAGCTAGGCACCACTGTGATTTTGAGATGAAGAACAGCAAAGCATGCGCTGTTTCTTTGTTTTTTGTGTGTTTTTTTCTTTACAAGTGCTGATTTTATGTCATGGATGGATATCCTTTATTTTTCTATAATATTGACGGAGATTGTCCCTCTGTTGTGTCGAGGTTGTAGCAGGTGTCCCCGTGCTTGAGGTGTATGCTCCTGGATTTTTAAAGTTATGTTGCATTTATTCTTAGATAACTTCTTTTATATGTGCCACATCATTCTTTCAAAGGCCAGTTTGTTTACAATTTTAATAAGACGCACATCACCTAGTCTTGGCCCCATCACTATCAATGTAATTTTTTTCAATTTCAAGCATTTATTTGGGCGCTCTCAATGTACCGTTTTTCTCCTTATTAGACCACACTGGTTATCGGAACTTTGGAAATACCAAATTAGTTACTTCATATCTAAGAAACAGTTAATATATGCCCTCCATTTAAAATTTACTCATACCTTTTTGTATTATTCAAAATTATCAGTAAAAAGCAGTTCTAGAAGGATCAGTAGGCCTTCGCCTAGCATTGATATCTAAATTACCAGAATATATTCAAATATATAGTTTGATATTTACACATATCTTAAATATGTATTACTTTCCGGACTGTTCCTGTTCACAGGGCCCGATTTGGTGATGTTTCAATGTCTACCCAAATTATTTTGCAGAGAATTAATTCAGCTCCAATCGGTGCTAGGGGCCGTTTAAAACTTGCAGGGAGGTGATAATTTTTTTTTAGCTCCATGTTTAAGGCTTAACTGTCACTTTGATATAAAAAAACAGCTGTTTCTTTGCTTTGTGTGTGATTTTTTGTGTCATGGATGGATATCCCATGTCTTCCGTTTTTCTATTATAATAGGTATAATGTTTAGACTAACCATATCCGAACTTTTCTGACTTGGTTCCATTAATATATCCACCAGAACTAGAAATTAAAGAAACAACAGTCACGGCTTCCTCCGCCTCATTTTTAGACTTCTACCTCGAATTTGACATACACAGTCATCTCAGTACCAGAATCTATGACAAACGAGACGATTTTAATTTTGAAATTATCAATTTCCCCCACCTTAGTAGCAATATACCAACTTCACCTGCATATGGGATATACATTTCCCAACTTATTCGGTATTCAAGAGCTTGCAGCTCCTACTCAGACTTTGTAAAACGTCACCAGTGTCTGAGCAGAAAGTTGATGAACCAGGGGTATGTCAAAGAACGTCTCGTTCTTTTTCTAAAAAAGTTCATCGGAAGGTACCAAGAACTTGTTGATAAATATTCCGTATCAACTTCACAAATAATACACGATGGTCTTGAAGTATAGATTTTGCGTACTGACGTTGTTTATCATCTTACTATCGTGTTATAGTATTCTTTTATTTATCTTTATTAATATTACTTTTACTGTTAAGTCTATTTTTTTGAGATATCCATTTGACGAGACTCTGTGCTTATGTATCCCGTCATACTTTGAACGACAAAATTATTTTAATTATTAATATTACTTTTACTTTTGAGTCTGTTTTTTGTGATATACATTTGACGTGAATCTGTACTTATGTATATCGTCATACATTGTACCACACAATTATTTTATTTTATTTATAAATATTACTTTTACTGTTAAGTCTGTTTTTTGTTATATCCATTTTACGTGACTCTGTATTTATGTATCCCCTCATACTTTGAACGATAAAATCATTTTATGTCTACCTGTGCGAATTTCAAACGCGCGATTTTACGCCAGTACTTAAAACCTTCCATCCTTTATGGGTGGATCTTATATAGATAAATAAAATCGTATAATATAAGCAAAACGAGGATTTTGAATTTGATGTATGCCTTTTTGTGCTTCTTCGTTACATTTGTTTGTTTTTATAGTGATTTAGATGATAACACAATGTTGACTGCTGTACCCCTTTTTTGACATTTTTACCTATTGTGTCTGTTTGTTTTGTTCACGCATCGTTGTCAATATAATGGAATTTGATGCGACTGTCATACAAATGAGAGGTTTAGCTAGCTATAAAACCAGGTTCAATCCACCAGTTACCACATAAGAAAATGTCTGTACCAAGTCAGGAATATAACAGTTGTTATACATTCGTTTGATGTGATTGTTTTTTTGATTTTGCCATTTGATTGGGGACTTTCCTTTTTGAATTTTCCTCGGAGTTCAGTATTTTGTGATTTTACTTTTTATTACTTCCTATAACAAAATAAATTATACTAAGGTAGAACGCATGGAATGATTAATCTTATTATTCCAAAAATCATTAACTTTCATTTTTAAACTTTAGAAAGCCTGATCATAAACGATAAAACAGCTCATATAAATGCATAATCAAATATGATATCAATTAGAAAATCAGTAATAAAATCTATAATAATGTAAATTTTCTTGCAGAAAGTGTCGATTTCTCTGTGATATGGACCTGGCATTACACACAAAAGAAACACTCATGGGATGTTGTTTCCATAGCAGATACTATTAATAGTAAAATACAGCATCTACGCGACTGGTTCCATGTAGAGTATGCAAAAATAGATATATCTGGGAGGCTAGCTCTTCAAACAACTACAGCTAGTCATACATTTAGCTCACTTTCATCACTTGAAATGGCAGTGAAATCCTTTCTAGAAAAATTCATTGAAGTGTGTGACTTTGAAAAATACATTGAAGAAGAGCAAATGATTAAACTCGATGTGACATGCCAGTTAAATGAGGATAATGGTACGTAATTACTACAATTAAAAAATGTACAGAAATAATGAATTTACTTTAGCTTACAGACGAAATATGCAACTTAAAGGACAATAGAAATCTTTAGAAGTATTCGAAAAAAAACAATTGCAGGATAATTCATATTATATATAGTAGCTTAGTTTTCGTAAACAATGTATTGATTTACTTTTATGAATGTTAAACATGTGTTAAAGTCGATTTTAGTTATACTTAGTACTATACCTTGAACTATTACGTCTCCTTTCCCAGTAGATTTTATCGATTTACCATAATGCATTTTCATTTGATCGCTCTTTTTAAAATTGGTAGACGATAATCCCGAAATTAGGAGAGAAGAAATGGAAAAGCCAGTTGATACAATACTTACATGTGACGACTGTAAAAAAGATTTGATATGCCTTGTGTGCAAAACCAGTAAGAGCTTGATATCAAGATTGAATGATAAACTGCAAGAGCAAAGGAACACTATCATGAGTGAGTTTATGTGTATACAGTAATGTAAAAAGTACAGTAACCCATGCGTCAAAACGGAAATTCAATTTGGTTTTTATTAATTAGAATAATTTCAATAATATTGAAATAATTTCTCATCAAATACATCTAAGTAAAAAGTTTAATATAATATTGTGCCTTAAATATGTTTAATTGTGCTAATAGCTTCATACCTTGAGCGTACAAAGTAAGTAATGTATGCGCTCTCATCAATGAATTTCAATTCATTTAGCCTAGTACACTAGTTACACATCAAAAACAAATGGTGTCTAGGTTTAAATCTTTCTATGGTATTATACTATTTATGCACACATTTCAAATTATCAGATGTAAACATCAACATAACGGCATTTCCCTTTAAAAATATAGTACTCAGTTTAGTTGTTATTATTCAGAATGTTGATAAGCTGTATTGCGTATTATTTACAGGCTGGTAGGTATTTTAATCGTATACTTAACAGAGTACTCCTATTTTGAAAATGTTCATTCCATGAAGGCATGTTGTGCCATGATCTGATATTATTGAAAAACAATGTATTGTATTATTGACATTTTTTACCCTTTTAAAGGCTTTCAATTGAGCCTGTTTTTATCAAAGAATGCGATAGTAATGAGCGATATACATTGGATGGAACTAATGTAGTGCATGTTTGCATTTAGATGTTGTTACGTTTACAATTTCATATTACTATTTTTTCATTTACATGAAGGATTACAAAGACGCATGTCGACATTTGGAGAATGGAATGAAGGTAAATTTCTTAATTTATTTTAAAGTAATTTGAAGGCATCATATGATAATCGTTTGTTGTCAGTTGTTTCTAAAGAATTTGTTCTGTAACTCGATTCTTCAAATGATAAATCATCAAATAAATCGAAGTAAAACGTTTAATATCATACTGTTGTCCCCAAAATATGTGTATATATGAAACTGTTTCATTCATTTCATGTTTAAAATTGAGAATGGAAATGGGGAATGTGTCAAAGAGACAACAACCCGACCTTAGAGCAGACAACAGCCGAAAGCCACCAATGGGTCTTCAATGTAGCGAGAAACTCCCGCACCCGAAGGCGTCCTTCAGCTGGTCCCTAAACAAATATGTATACTAGTTCAGTGATAATGGACGTCATATTAAACTCCAAATTATACATAGGAAACTAAAATTAAAAATGATACAAGACTAACAAAAGCCAGAGGCTCCTGACTTGGGACAGGCGCAAAAATGCGGCGGGGTTAAACATGTTTTTTGAGATTTCAACCATCCCCCTATACCTCTAGCCAATGTAGAAAAAACAAACGCACAACCGTACGTACAGTAAAACTCAGTATAAGAGAAGTCCGAGTCCGATGTCAGAATAGGAAACAAAAGAAAGTAAACAAAATGACAATATTACATAAATAACAACAGACTACTAGCAGTTACTAACATGCCAGCTCCAGACCTCAATTAAACTGATTAAAAGATTATGTCTTCATCATATGAATATCAGGCACAATCCCTCCTGTTAGGGGTTTAGTATTATACCGTCATAAAATATATGATAAGAACATAACCCGTGTCATGCCAACAACTGGTTTTAGAATAAATGTGTTAATTCCGATGCAAAGACCCTATAAGTGAATTAATATTAAAGCCAAAATATGCAATCTTTAATGACCTGACAACAGTATCGTAACTATATCCCTTCTTAATAAGTCTGTTTAAAGGTTTAGTTAGCTTTTGAGGTGAATACTGACATGTTTGTGCTTTGTAAAGAATATTACCATAAAAGATTGGATGTGAAATACCCGAACGTATAAGATATCTGCATGTTGAGTTATATTTACGAATGATGTCCTTATACCGATGATAAAATTTAGTAAATGTTTTGACTAGTTTATGATATCGAAAACCCTGTTGTAATAATTTTCAGTAATACATAAATTTCTCTCGCTAAAATCTAATACGTTGTTACATACACGAGCGAATCGTACAAGTTGAGATATATAAACACCATAAGATGGTGACAAGGGAACGTCACCATCTAAAAATGGATAATTAACGATAGGAAATGAAAAATCATCTCTTTTATCATAAATTTTTGTATTAAGCTTCCCGTTAATGATATAGATATCAAGATCGAGGAAAGGACAGTGGTCATTGTTGGTATTAGCTTTATTTAAAGTAAGTTCAACAGGATAAATTTCTTTAGTATACACACTGAAGTCGTCATTATTGAGAGCCAATATATCATCCAAATATCTAAAAGTATTGTTAAATTTTTGTATCAGATGTTGTTTCGATGTGTCTTTGCTGATTTTAGTCATTAATTGTAACTCATAACAATACAAAAACAGGTCCGCAATAAGTGGTGCACAGTTAGTCCCTATTGGAATTCCGATAACTTGACGATATACGGAATCTCCAAAGCGAACAAAAATGTTATCAAGTAAAAATTCAAGGGCAGATATAGTATCAAAGCATGTCCAATTGCCTTTATTCTCAAATCTTAAGCTTATAAGAAAATCTTTGTATGCAATATTAAATACACTCGGCAATGTGCTTTAATTAATTAAGTCGCGTCCAATTTTTGTTCAGTAATAAATTTATATTTTAAAATATATTATCTGAAAAAAATGAGTTATATAATGTATAATTTCAGGTTTTGCTGATGATGTCTTTTCATCGGACGACGAAACAGAGGATTTGGATTTTGGTAAATATGCTGCAAGAAATCTTTGCCTATTCATTATTCAACAAACATTTTTTTCATTATAAAAAAAAAGTATATAAAGTGTTTTTAAATCACAGTAAACTTTGACAAAATGAATAAAAATCACAAAAGAGATAATTAACAGTGCCAAGGTCACTAATAATAAACTAAAGATTGAATTGCTAAAATCAAATTAAAACAACAGAGGATTACCTGAAATTGTTAATTAAGAGAATGTGAACTTGTTTAGATTCATTCAGCCTTCGTGGTACCGGTGGTAGTTCAAAACATGTACATACGAAACAATCTGAAAAAGAGTATAAACGAAATAAATGATGATAAAATCTGGATTTTACAATTACAAATTATGTTTAAACAGATATTCTATAATGGTCATAACAATCTCGAAGGCGTCCATAAAGACTGCAAGTATGTAGTTGATGCTTTAAATCAAAGATATTCCTGCGAAAAACGTGTATTTCAATAGCAAAACTGTGTCAGTGAAGTCTTAATATGTAGCATTCAATTTGGTACAGCTGGAAGATTTATACTCAATTGTAAGGTTGCGTTTGCTTTTTGTTACCAAATCCTGAAATTTCATTAAAAGACAACCATAATTGGAAGCCATTTCGTTTTTCGTAATGATTTTTTTCGAAACCTTTATGGTTAATATTTTATTACTGATGTCCCGTAGGTGTCTGTTTAGATCTTGTAGTCATACGGTTTAATTTTGTAGTCCATTTTTTTTTAAACAATCTGCAATCAATTCCATCACCATGCCTAATATATCATGTACTGTGTTACAACTCTAGATTCTACTGACGTGAAAATGTAACACTAGACCACCGAAAGTTGAATTATTAGTTCAGTGTAGGTGGCCGAGTTATCTAGAGCGATGGACACAGTGCAGGTGGTGTTGTCTCGATATCCCAATAGGATGAGTTCGAATCCTGGCAAGGGAAGAACAAAAATTTGCTTCCGAAAATTTGCAGATTCAATATTGTTGTGCTGATATTTAGAGTAGTTATATAAGAATTTAGACTTGTTTATATTTGTTCGTTTGGGCTTGTATTATATTTGCTTTCGGATGTATATAATCCATTCATCTATATTCAAGAGTCTATCATAAATTGAGGTAAATTATGTTGCCTTCATAATACCGTTTCGATTCCTAACATCACTGAAGAGACATTAATTGTCGAAATCCGGATATGATGTATCAAGTTTTGCAACTCATGTGTGCGGGCTTGTATTATATTTGCCTTCGGGTTTATGTAATCCGTTCATCCTATTTCAACTCTTCAAAATTCAAGAGTCTATCTTAAATTGAGGTAAATTTATATGGTCTTCCAAATACCGTTTCGATTCCTAACATCACTCAAGAGAAATTAATTGTTGAAATCCGGATATGGTGTACAAATTTTTGCACATTATGTTTCCGGTATACCATCTTTATCTGGTGATCCGTTTTTTTTTTGGCAATCGCCATGGCAGTCAGCAGGCTTTAAGGTTGCATTTTATAAATACAGCTGTTTCTTAAACCACGCCTCTTTTAAGGAATGTATAATATTCATAGATACATTATGTTGTATACGTACTTATTCCCAGATATGATCTCTATGTTTCATCTCATAGAGACATAACTTGGGAATGTTACCAGTATAAATAAAAAAAATATAGCGGCAGCCTTGAATTCTGAAAGAGACCAAAAGTAAAGGTAGGGGTAGTTCAGAATTTAAGTACAAGTTTAAACTCTAATAAGTTCGGGGCATATAAATGTTGAAAATATGCCGCACAGCCCTATAATTTGACCTTTGAAAAAAAAAATCGAAACTTCATAGTAAAAGTTGTACAGGTTCAGCCGTAAAAGGAGTTTCATGGGAAATTGCATTGTCAATATTTACAGAAATGAAACCTATATTGGATGAAAAAAGGGAACTTACAGAATTTCGCAAAATCTGGTTATCTCAGAGATTTTAATGAAATCAACTCACATATGAAGTTTTATAAATATTTCATGAAGATTGGGAAAATCCTGGGCCTTAACTATGATGACTCAGCATAAATTCACAGTTTAGGGTATGCATAGTTTACTTAAATAGATATAAGAAGATGTGGTATGAGTTTCAATGAGACAACTCTCCATCCAAGTCACAATTTGTAAAAGTAAACCATTATAGGTCAAAGTACGGTCTTCAACACGGAGCCTTGGCTCACACCGAACAGCAAGCTATAAAGGGCCCAAAAAAAGACTAGTGTAAACCATTCAAACGGGAAAACCAACGGTCTTATCTATTGAAAAACGAGAAACGAGAAACACTTATGAACCACATCAACAAACGACAACTAATGAACATCAGATTCCTGACTTAGGACAGGTACAAACGAATGCAGCGGGTTTAAACGTTTTAATAGATACCAACCTTCACCCTTATCTGAAAAAATGTCGTAACATCACAACAAAGAAAGACACACTATAAAATATCAATTGAATTGGCTTAACTCAATCAAAAGACATATTACCACAAGTGAACATACACTGAACTAATAAATTTGATATATGATAAAATGTAAATACAAAATCAAAAAAATAAGGGGTGAATCAATAAAGGCAACAGTAGTTTACCGCTGTGAGATGTTAAACAATTTAAAAAAAAACAACAATAACCTCGAACAAAAAGCCGCCATATACAATAATATACACAGGTAAATAATTTTGTGGTTAGGTATAGAGTTCAAATGGAGAATGAAAATATTTTTTACAAAATAAATAATTTTGTTGTTTTTAGTACGAAGAAGTGAAAAATTATAGTTATACCAATCGCCAATGGCAGTCAGCAGGGTTTAAGAACAATCGTTGTTCGACCTGTTAGTCAAATGCGTTTTGTTGAAATATACTTTTTCACTTTTTTGGTCTTTTGGAAAATGGTGTTTGTGCTGTATTTAGACCCTTCTACCAACAAATTTGTTTTGCATGCACACGTATAAAACTTGCGACATTAGTTGTCGAAATCCGGATATGGTGTACAAATTTTTGCACCTCATGTTTGAGGTATACCATTTTCAGCAAGTTTATTGTTTTCTGTTTGGTATTAAATTAATATTAAAGATCCATTTGTTACATCTTGTGATTCGTTTATTTGGCAATCGCCAATGGCAGTCAGCAGGGTTTAAGAACATCCGTTGTTCGACCTGAAGGCAAATGCGTTTTGTTTAAATATACCTTTTCACTTTTTTTGGTCTTTTGGAAAATGTTGTTTGTGCTGTATTTAGACCCCTCTACCAAGAAATTTGTTTCGTATGCACACGTATAAAAATTGCGGTTTTTATCCAACGCAATCATAGGTTTGAACTTTGTTTTTAATTTAGACTTATTTATATTTTTTCGTTTGGGCTTGTATTATATTTGCCTTCGGGTTTATATGATCCGTTCATCCTATTTCGACTCTTCAAAATTCAAGAGTCTATCCTAAATTGAGGTAAACTATATGGCCTTCCAAATACCGTTTCGATTTCTAACATCACTGAAGAGATATTAATTGTCGAAATCCGGATATGGTGTACAAATTTTTGCACCTCATGTTTGAGGTATACCATTTTCAGCAAGTTTATTGTTTTCTGTTTGGTATTAAATTAATATTAAAGATCCATTTGTTACATCTTGTGATGCGTTTATTTGGCAATCGCCAATGGCAGTCAGCAGGGTTTAAGAACATCCGTTGTTCGACCTGTTTGTCAAATGCGTTTTGTTTAGATATACATTTTCACTTTTTTGGTCTTTTGGAAAATGTTGTTTGTGCTGTATTTAGACACCTCTGCCAAGAAATTTGTTTTGCATGCACACGTATAAAAATTGCGGTTTTTATCCAACGCAATCATAGGTTTGAACGTTGTTTTCAATTTAGACTTATTTATATGTTTTCGTTTGGGCTTGTATTATATTTGCCTTCGGGTTTATATGATCCGTTCATCCTATTTCGACTCTTCAAAATTCAAGAGTCTATCCTAAATTGAGGTAAATTATATGGCCTTCCAAATACCGTTTCGATTTCTAACATCACTGAAGAGACATTAATTGTCGAAATCCGGATATGGTGTACAAATTTTTGCACCTCATGTTTGCGGTATACCATTTTCAGCAAGTTTATTGTTTTCTGTTTGGTATTAAATTAATATTAAAGATCCATTTGTTACATCTTGTGATGCGTTTATTTGGCAATCGCCAATGGCAGTCAGCAGGGTTTAAGAACATCCGTTGTTCGACCAGTTAGTCAAATGCGTTTTGTTTAAATATACCTTTTCACTTTTTTTGGTCTTTTGGAAAATGTTGTTTGTGCTGTATTTAGACACCTCTACCAAGAAATTTGTTTTACATGCACACCTATAAAAATTGCAGTTTTTATCCAACGCAATCATAGGTTTGAACGTTGTTTTTAATTTAGATTTATTTATATTTTTCGTTTGGGCTTGTATTATATTTGCCTTCGGGTTTATATGATCCGTTCATCCTATTTCGACTCTTCAAAATTCAAGAGTCTATCCTAAATTGAGGTAAACTATATGGCCTTCCAAATACCGTTTCGATTTCTAACATCACTGAAGAGACATTAATTGTCGAAATCCGGGTATGGTGTATAAATTTTTGCACCCCATGCTCGCGGTATACCATCTTTTCCGCAAGTTTATTGTTTTCTGTTTGGTATTAAATTAATATTAAAGATCCATTTTGTAACATCTTGTGGCCCGTTTATTTGGCAATCGCCAATGGCAGTCAGCAGGGTTTAAGCACATCCGTCACCAAAAAAAATAAAATCATGAACAAAATGTTACCTTATATCTTTCATCAGTAAGATGTCAAATAAATCTTATCTTGACATGTGGTAGTCAAACTGATATAGTTATCTTGACGGTTTACAAATTATCACGAATCAATACGCTGGTAATTTTTTCAATATTGATGTTTGGGAGGAGGAATAAATTCTTGAAAGTGAGAAGAAAGATTT